ATGCTGCTCCTACTTCAGCTTCAGCTGCAGAGCTAAGAACATTTTTCATGATTTTGGCTATGACATGGACCGCTCCGTTGGATGGTGCGTCGTCTATGCTGCCATTGCTGAGGAAGAAGAAACCTCCTGCACGTGATCTTGCTTTTGGAGCTGAGAGGTAGGAGGCATCGGAGTGCATATGGAGGATCATGCCGCTGCGGCTGTACCGTAGGATTGCGTCGGGGTGTGTAGCAGCGTAATTGAGTAACATGATTGTAGATTGTAGAGTTTTTTCCGTGCCATTGGTTTGTTCGGCTGCTATGTCGCCTAGGGCCATTAACATGGTGCAGTCCACTGCCCTTGCATAATAGAGGAGAACACCCACTACTTCCTGAATGTGTTTCACTCCTTTGGGTGGTAGTGGTGTCGATGCATCCTCAGGTTCTGTGTATTGAATGGGTTGGCCGTATTGTGGTACATTCCATCGATGTGGAGCATGTTCCGGGCGTGTTGGTGTTGGGTGGTTGAATCGTTGGAGGGCTCGTGAGACATAGCCGGGCATGGATAGGTCCACTGTGCCCTGTAGGTAATCCCACTTCAATGCGATGCCACAGTAGAGTTCTCCATCCCAATCTGTGGTGATCTTATATGCGCTTGCCACGGTATCGATTAGGTGTTGGGCATGTTCTTTGCCGACGTATTTGACACCAAAATCGTCCACGACAAGTGTGAATGAAACTGGTCGGTCGTTATGTTTGAATAGACCGTGTATGTGTTTAGATTGATGGTATCCGTGTTGGTTCAAGTGGATGATGAGTGCATCGTTGGCGATGCGTCCTGCTTGTGGAAGGCCGTACATGCCGCGAATGATTTCCACAAGGACGTAGCCATTGTGGACTAGTTTGTGTAAGTCATATTGGTCCATGATTTCGTCTGGAATAATCTCCACGGGTATGCGCATGTACTCTGGTCGTTCCATGGGAGTCATCAGGTAGAAGTCCTTGATGTCCATTGTCATGTACTTTGCATCCGGGGTGGAGATGACACTGTTGAGGTGGAGCTTGACTGTGGTGAGCGAGGCTGTTTTGGTGCTGACATCGAAGGGGTATTCGATTCTGTCTCCTCCTACTGTAAATCTGACACGTCGCTTCTCTGCTTTTTGTGGTCTGTCATCGCAGACGACCCGTAGATAGGTTGCTTTTCGGTCGGCTGGTATTGCTGTGTGTGGGATGAATCTGATGGTATCCGTTCCTTTGAGCCCCGTGGCAGCACGTCCTTGGGCTAATCGTCCCATTTCATTGCAGCAAGCACTGATCCAGTGCTCTCCATCCGACGATTCTTTGAGTACTTTGTAGTCGGACAGCACCCCGGTATCAGGGTTGACTGCTTTATGTGCATAGTGCGGTGGTGCTTCGGTCGCATTCGCGATTGGGGGCGGTGCCGTGTCTGCTTGGGTGGGTGCTGGTTGTTGTTTGCGATTGCGTCCTCGGTGTTTGGTCGCTTTGGTGTACGTTGATGTTTGGTCCGGCACCCTCAGAAGTGGGCTGGCGGTGACGTCTTTCGGTTCGTTGTTGTCTGTGCTGTTCGTTGGTTCCGGTGCGATGGTGTTGCCTAATCGTTTGTCGAAGATGTGTGCGAGGTCCAGTAGTGTGGCTGCATCGCTGTCGGTGAAGGCATGTGCTGGTGGATTGGTTGTTGGTTGTTGTAAAGCCCTTGCAATGTCCTGTAGCCCACCGATGGCCATGTCTAGTTGTGTTGGCATTGGTGTCTGTAGGCGTTCTGGGAACCAGGTGAGAGTGTCGGCTTTCCGTTCTCTTTGTGTGTCCCATATCCAGGTGCGAAAACATCGATAGGCTTGTAATTCAGGTCCTATATACCATCCATCTTTGCCCTTTGGGGCCCAAGTGGCTCTTTCTTTTGGTTTTTCGTGCACGACAACATGCATTCCTGGGGGAGCAATGGGTGTTGCTGTGAAGTCAAAATGGCCGAAGACTTGGGCATGGGCGGACAGCGCCGGATTGATTCGAGAGCCTCTGAGGAGGTTGAGTGTGATGGTGCACTGTGGGATGAGTTTGTCCCAAAGGTGTAGTGGGAAGTTGCTGTCGGTCGTGCAGAGTCCAGCAATAAGGTGGTCCTTGTAGGTCCTGATGGCACGTTCGGCTGCATTTCGACGATGGATGCCGGCTGGTGTTGTCTGTAGTTGTATTCCTTCTTCATGGATGTGGTCCCGCAAGAGTTTGGAGCACTCGTTGTCGAGGACGTGTAACTTTGGTCGCAAACCGGCTTTGACGAGTCGGTTGTGGATTGTGGTCCATGCTTGTACATGGGCTTTGGCTGTGCGATTGGGCATTGGTTCTGCGTGAATCGAGTTGCTGTCATAGTGATAGAGGATGAATAGATAGTTGTTTCCTGTGCTGGACGGTATAAAGAATCTTCCGGTTTGGTCGGAGAATGTTTTTCCTGTTGGTTGGATGACGGCCGCATAACTGACTTGGTTGGGTGCGGTGGCGTCGACTTCGGAATGCTGTGGGAACTGTTCCTCGTGTTCTGGGAGCAGAGGTAGTGGTTCTGGGTCCGTCTTCGTGGATTGGATGCCTTGGCGTTGTTGGTTCATATGTCCTTTCGCGGTAGCTATGGAATGTGGGGTGTATTTGTTGAAAGTTTCGAGGGTAAGCCCTGGATAGTTGGTGATGTATTGCTTTGTTAGTGCTTCCTTGAGGGTTGATAGTGCCGGGGAGAAGAAAGCTGCGTGGGCAAAAGCGACTAGGTCTGCTGGTTTGGCTGTTGGTGTGGTGGCCATAAGATTGGCTCGTTCTTGTTTGGTTCTTGGTTTTGGTGGCATATCGATTTCCCATAATAGGTTTGTGGATAAGTTCCGGTTGCCGGTGAGGATGGTGTCGCCCATGAAAGAGATGATGCATTGATGTGCTCGGAAGATTGCCTCACATCCAGCATCGCATAATTGTCCGATGGAGAGGAGGGAGGTTGTTCCCAAGGTAGGAAACAGGTGGGCCTTTGTGGCTGTATTGGGGAGACTCGGTAGGTCGAGGTTGCACGTGTGTGTAGAAATGATGACAGAGTTGTCTGGGAGAGTGACCTGTATTGGTGTTGGATTCTGTTGGATGTTAATTATGTTTTCATTGCTGACTGCAATGAAGTCCGTGGACAGGAAGTGTCCGGTACTGCCTGTGTCTGCGACTATAGGTGTCGTGTCGTTTCTGTCTGTGGTTGCTATTTGATTCGGGGGACCATCTTTTTGTTCTTGTATCTTTTGTTCTTTTAACTTATCCGCTTTTACTATATTACGTGCATTATTTGGTTTACTTTTTTCTTTGTTGTTTGATACGTCCGTGAATGGCTCCCGTCTTGCTCAGGTGTTGGTTGGTGGAACTTGGTTCTCTTCGTTTTCACGGCTTGGGCGCTGAGGGCGCCTGTAGACTGCTTTCTCACCAGCCCTACGATGGATGACACAGCATCCGCCTAGCATGTCGTCAGCTGTAGCTTCATCTCGGTGGCCGGGGAGTTTCTTGGTGCAGGTGTTGCTTGTGTGGTTGCTGTTTGGGCCCTGTCCGTGGGACCAGCAATAGTACATGGGGATGCCTCCTATTTGTGTTTTGTTCGCGGTTCCTTTTGTTGGCTTCTCCGTCGCTTTGTTCGCATATCCGACTTGTTTGGGAGTGAGGATGCGTCGTCGTTCTTTATCGGCGGATGTGAAGTGCTTCTCTAAGTCGGTGAAGGCTTGGTCTTCTTCTTCTTTCTTCCTCCAATCTTTCATGGCGTCGGTGAAGACTCCACTGTTGGTTAGGTTTGCGATGGCTGCGCGTACTGCCATTTTATCTGTAATAGGATCATGGTCGGCTGCAAACTTCTGAGCGTCCTTGACTTGATTGAAGAGATCTTCAATGGGTTGATCGGGGCTCCAATTTGCATCCATTCTCTTGATGTTATCGACTAGGTCGTCGGCATCTACTTTGCCATACTTGGTGTCGAGGTGTTCTAGGAGGGCGCGAACGGTGACTTGGGCATATCCGTAGAGTTCATTTTTCAATGCTTTGGTGAATGTATCTGGAACTGCTTCCAGTAGTTGCTTCTGGAGCGTTGTTTCAGTAGCTCTGTAGGTGAGGAAACGTTGCTCTCTGGCGGCATATACTCGATTGTTTTCGGTGATTTGGGGTCCTGTTGGTGCTACCCCGTGATCTGGGGCTGGACCTGGATGTTCTGGGTTTTCCCAAGGGATGGTATTTGGTAGGTCGTTGTAGGTGATGGTTGTAGCACCAATGCGAGGTGTCCATAATGTCCTCCTCCGAGGGCGGTTGGGATTGTCATTGCATTGGCATTTAGCTCTTGGTGGATGATTTTGAGACTGTTGTAGTTTGGTTTCTCATCAGGGGGAATAGCTGTGAGTGTAGTTTTGGTGAAGTGGTCGATGGGTACAAAGGATGTCATGTTGGTTTGTGTTAGAGGGTGACGGCAGCGATGGAGGAAGACTCTTGCTGATGCTCTCGGTGTAGAGAGTTTGTCGGTGTGTTGGATTGTTAATAACTGTTGATCCAGGCTGGGGCCAGGTAAGAATTAGTTAGTAAAGGTTTGTTATTAACAATTATGAGCTGGTAGTTTCTAGGTAAATGTCCCCATACTGGAGCACACAGGCCCAGCTGGGGAGTGCCAACTCTAACAGCTGCTAACGGTTTCTGGCTCCTATGTGGAGTCCTGCGAGCAGGGGGAGCCAGGAGATGGGCTTGCTAGCATTTAATAGTGGTAGGGATCTGGTACAGGACTCAAAGACTTAAGGGTCCTGGTGCCAGATCAACAATCTTGCCTTCCACAATTCAGTAGCTTCCCTGTCTTAATCCACTATAACATTATTATTATTATTAATGAGTGACTATTCAGGGCATACCAGCACGTACTAGCTAGTACCAGTACAGGTCGTACGGTGAAGCATGAAGCTCGCATGGTTTCCCTTTGCGTTACTTGTTACTACAGGTACCGCCATCCTATGCATGAGAGTCACGAGTCGCATCGATCGGCCCCCAGCGTCACATTCATCGGCGCCAGTGCTCGGAATGATCAATCCAAGCAGTCCAGTAGCTCCTCCATCGTTTCTTTAGCAACAAAGGTGACAATAAGCACGTTCTCTGACCAGTAGCTATAGATCAAGTACTAGTATTGAAAAGCACAGCAGAATGCACACAAAAAAAGGGAATGACCTCGTCCAAGGCAAAAGAGGTGCTTTGGACAATGACCCAACAATGGCTGATAGGGCGAGCCAGTCAGATGAAGTAGATCAAACGATTCTTGATTGCCTTACCAAGAGAGCCCAACTGGAAGCGTTCCAACATCAAACGGACCAATCTATTGGCTTAGCTAGAGTTGATCACGCGAAGAAACAAGAATCTGGTGCTTCGACTGCGGCGACCGCCACGCTGAGTGGTCATGGTAGCAAAAAGACCCAATACGCCACAACAAATCCTGCCGGAAGTCAAGAGGGAGATGCGAAAATCAAAAAACTCGCTGCAAACCGAGCCAGCGTGGGAACAGCGGAGCTTTTGGATACTAGTCAACAGCAAGAGAATTTGATGAATATTGTGGCAGATCGAGCCAGTGTGGCATCCGCAGAGCTATTGTATGAAGAGATGAACCCCACACAAGGTGATGAGCACAATCTTTTGCAAATGGCAACAGAAATTACCTCGGTGACCAAGTTGGAAAAATCTAGCAACAAAAGGTCTGCTGATGGTGGCCAAACACTCATGAAAATGGCAACAGAAATCAACGAGGCGGCTAAGCTGGAAGAGGTCAGCAACAGCAGGAGGTCAACTGAGAGAAATGGAAGTGTCCCAGAAAGGTTGCAGCATGTAACACCCCAAGGGACTTCACAGCTTCCTCGTCCAGGGGCCTACATGGGAACACCAGGAGAAGGATTGCGACGTACCAACACCCTTAGATTCTCCCTCCTTGGTGCTCCTGCTCCCAACACGGATGATAAGGAAGAATTGCAGATTGATCAGGGCGAAACAGAGTCGATGCCACAGGTGTTGCCAAACAACAGCAATGATGTAAGAAATGATCAGCAGCTAGCAGTGGCAAATCTTGTTGTGGAGGATCATGAGGATTTCGAGCACCAAATGAGACCATCCGCAAGTCCTGTGGATCTACAACTGGTCGAGGAAAGACAGCAAAAGAAGAGGCAACAGGTTCAGGTGTTCATTTTGTTTCTGGTCATGTTGTGCATAGTGGCAGTCATTACTGTTGGCACAGTTGCTGGAACAAGAAAAGGAAAGGATCCAGTCACAACAATCAGAAGTCAAACAGCTACTCCAACTGCCTTTGGTTCTATGCAACCTTCCGGAGTTCCTTCCTCAGCCCCAACTGGAATCCTGGATTTCATAATGGAAGATTTGCCAAATTACACTTTGGAGAGCTTGCAGACGTTTGGGACACCCCAGTGGCGAGCATGGGACTGGCTGTTGGACCACCAAAACATAACCCAGTTGCCAGAGTGGAGGAAGATGCAGCTCTTTGCTCTGGCCACATTCTACTACTCTCTTGAGGGAGAAAATTGGTTTGAACCTATCCGAGAAAAGTGGATGGATGACTTTGTGGACGAGTGCCTGTGGTTCTCCAGTGGGTTTTCCTATTTTGAGAATGGTGTCTATGCAGAATATCCTCCCTCATATGCAACTCTTCCGTGCAACCATCTTGGAGAATATACAAGTCTTTGGGTTGAAGATCTCTCCCTTTCAGGTCTTGCACCAGTTGTTCCACCAGAAATTACTCTGTTGACATCCTTGTCTCAGATTGGGCTGGGAAAAAACAAGATTTCTTCATCGATTGATATTATGCTGCCAAGTGAAATCTACAAAATGACAGCATTGACATCTTTGAGTTTTGCTGGCAATCGGTTGTCTGGTAGAATTCCTACAGAGCTTGGACTTTTGACTGCATTGGCGTTGCGAATGTTAGATAACAATGATCACCTGTCAGGCCAGATCCCCTCCGAGCTTGGACTTTTGACTGCACTTACACGGCTAAGGTTACACTACAATCGTTTATCAGGGTGGATTCCATCAGAGCTGGCCAGCATGAGTCATTTGATTGATCTGAGATTACAGTGGAACCAACTCACAGGCCGGATCCCAACAGAGCTTGGACGGCTGACTTCTTTGGAATGGTTGTTTTTGGCCACTAATGAATTGACCGGTCAACTTGCAACAGAGCTAGCGCTATTGAGATCTCTGAATATCTTGTGGTTGGATACAAATCCATTGACCGGACAGATTGCTACACAATTCGGAACAATGGTCAATCTAACTGTCTTCTCTGCCAGCACAAATCTCTTAACAGGTCCCATTCCTTCGGAATTTGGATTGCTGACCTTGAAAGAGTTTTGGTTAGAAGTCAATGAGTTCACCGGTGAAATTCCAAATGAAATCTGGTCGATGGCCAGCTTGGACAAGCTCTACTTTCGCATGAATTCCTTAACAGGATCCTTGCCCAGTCAGATTGGTCTGTTGACATCCTTGCTCGAGCTGGACCTTTCCACTAATCGTTTTACTGGGACAATCCCAAATGAAGTTGGTTCCATGACGTCCTTGCAAAAGCTGTATCTGTACAACAATAGCTTGACAGGAACCCTACCCCTTCAACTTAATGAATCAATGGGGCTGAGACTGGAAGGGAATCAATTTTCAGGTGATGTGCCCGAGCATCTCTGTTCTGCCCTGTGGTGTGATTGTGCCGCAAATTCGACACAAGTATCCACATGTGCCGACCTACATGAGCTTGTAAGTTTTCCAGGAAGGTTTCCCGGAACAAGAGCTGACAAAGATGGCAAACAGATTGTTCTCAATGTGGAATCTGACGGAAACCCGGCTGAAACCAGCTGGTTCTGGCAAAAGGAAACAAACTCATCTGGTGTTTGGATAACGCTGCAAGAATCGGGGGATGCAATTCAAGTTCCACATGTCTTGTACTCTTTCATTCTTTCTCTTGCGGCCAAAACAAAATATAAGCTCACAGTTTTGGACAGTTGGGGAAAAGGTTTTGTCCCCTCTGGATGGATAACTGTGACTACATCAAATCAGACTGTGCTCTACTCTTTTACAGAAGTTGACACTCCGTTTTCGAAGATCACAGTTGACCTTTCAGTTGGAGCTGATGGTTCAGTTGAGGAGATCATATCAGTTGTTGAATGTGATCCTGTAGTTGAGTTTTGCTAAGTATGATACAGAAGATACCTTCCCTGCAAAGTTACTTTCATAGCAGCAGAAATGGCCTGAAATATGTGTTTGACATTAATTTAGTTTGACAATATCCAGAAGTCTCAATGGTCCTTTCGATTGGAGCTGGGGGATCTCTTTTATCACTTTTCAGACGACCCACAGCTTGATACCGCTGGAACAACAGGAACCGTGACGTCTTGAGTCAAAGTGCATGCATGTAAACCGGCACCAGTAGATCCAAAGGGGGGGGGGGGTACACACAGTGTGAGTGGCGAAGCCGCGAACACCGTGCACTCGACACAAGTAGGTCTACAAGAATTAATAGTCTTGGGGGCTACAGCATTTGTCTCTACTGAAAGCAGTGCTGCTTGAGATCAAACTCAGGAAGGATCAAAGTGTGAGTTTTGCGAGGTGCTTCATCAGTGGCAAGCAGCAGGGAGCCCCTGACCATTAGGGACTAAAAAAAGCTAGGCACTGGAATTTCAATAGGTTCTAGGTTGCAACCTTGGGTTGCTCCGGCTCCAACCGGGGTCCCAATGCCTCTACTCGGCTGGTAGAGAGAGGCTGGGGCCCCAGTTTGGTCATCTAGTTTGCGGTGGGAGAGTGGATTTCCAAGGTTGGGTGGCCTGCTGTAGGCAACAATCAATCGCTGGATGTTGGGCTTTCTGGGTGACTGGGGGGGGGGGTAGCTGGCTCGTAGCTATGGTAGCAAGAGGATCTTGAGGAAGGCTATCTCAAATGTGACTGGTGATTGGGCAATAGTGGAAGAATTAGCTGGAGCAATCCAGATACATTATTTCTTGTACTCCTTTGTCCTTTCTGTTGACCCAAACACAAGCTACAGACTCATTGTTTTCAGATTACTTTGGAGATGGCTTGTTTGGCTCTGGATGGATCACCCTGGCAGCATCCAATCAAACAGTTTTGTATTCTTTTACAGAAGTCAACACTCCCTTTACAGAAATTTCAGTTGTCCTTTTGATTGGAATTGATGGTTTCCCGGAGAAAATCACACCCAATGTGTACTGTGACCCTGTGTATGACTACTGTTGAGATGGCTTCAACAGGTACTCTTTGCAGGAAAAGCTCATTTTGTTTTGATTGGCGGCAAATGCAAATGTTCGCTGCGGCCGATGCGAGACTTGTGGATTGTGAAGATTTTCTATTCAGAGATTTTGTAGCTGTCTGTGTTATCCTCAAGAGCCCCCCAAGCCACGCTGCGTTGTCTGCTCACAAAAGCGATGGGCATGCCCATCGTGGGGTGGCAGGGGTGGTTTCCCGAACGCGCCTCATGGTACTAGTACTGGCAGCTTCGCTGCCTTCAAACCAGGACAACTGTGACCCAGAAGCATCACCGAGAGGTGAGCAAACAGGTGATGATTGCGCTACTCGCATCCAACCCGATCCATCGGGCTCCGCAGACAAGAAGGGATAGACCGACCAAAGCTGCGGGGTTGTTCGAGAGGGTGGTACCGTATTGGTGACACGTTGCTCAATCTACGTATCTTCTTCTGTGTCAATTTGAGAGAGCCCACACACAGCACGGCGAACGAACGCCAAAGCACGGGAAAACCTGGACTCTTTGGGACCACCCCCAATGCCAGCAAGCATCACGGAAGTAGTTTGTCACCTTTTGCGTCTCCAGCGCCGACCATGAGCTTCCCTAGCTAGGGTTCTTCCATACGTCGCTAGAGATCAAATGGAATCTTTCAAAAAGATCAGGACGTCCTCTGCCTGTCTAGCTAGGATCCAACCTTGGGCCAAATCCAACCGGCAGCATGCATCAACAAGCAAGACTGTGTCAACCCTCGAAGTCCGGGAGACAGCGGAAGGTACTAGACTTGGCATCCTGGCGAGTCTGAAGAAGTCTCGGGCCCCTAGCTAGCTAGGATACCGATATCCTGCATGTACGATCTTTTTTGAAAAGAGGATATTGTCTTGCTCTCACAATTCCAACTCACGCAAAGCAATACAAAACAAGTTCAGTCAAATCCGACGCAATTTACTTTACAAAACAAACATGAAGATCTCCAGTGTAAGCTTGATGATGCTCTGTGCCAGTACGGCAGCAGTGAAGCCCAAAATGAGGGGACTTCGTTCCAGCAACCGTCGTGCCCAGGAAGATGTTGTGAACTCCATCCACGCCAACGTCGACTCCTTGTGGGAAGCAGAAGGATTGCCCGGTCTGACAGAGGCGATCGCGATTGATAGCCAAAGCCCAAACTTCAACCCAGATTGGGCCGAGACAGGCGAACTGCACGCCATTCTTGATTTCTACCTTCAGCATGCCACTGAAAAACTGGGAAGCCGCACCAATGTGTCTCACAAGGTCTATGGAGGGGCTAACGCCACGTTTCCTACCCCACCTCTCCTTACGATCACTGTTGAGGGATCCCGTCATGGTCAAGAAGGAGCCCCCGAAGTGCTCCTCTACACGCATGCTGACACTCAGCCCCATAACGGCGCCGACTGGACTCATGGTGATCCGCTTGTTGCCACTCGCGTGAACGCCTCAGGCGACTTGTTGTACGGAAGAGGAACCACCGATGACAAGTATGCATTCTTCTCTGCCGTGATTATGTTTCAAACTCTCATGGAGCAGGGCTTGCCTTACCCCACAGTTCATATTGTGGTGGAGACGGAAGAAGAAAGCGGAAGCCCTCATCTTGAGCCACATTTGGACGAGTTGGTGCACGATATTGGTTCTCCTGACGTAGTCTACGTACTTGATTCTGGTGGTCCCGACCAGTCTCACATGTGGAATACAAGATCTCTGCGCGGATTGATTTCTGGAGTCTTGCGGGTGGAGCTCTTGGAATCGTCCGTCCACAGTGGAACTGCGGGTGGAATTGTGCCCTCCGTCTTCCGTCTTATGAACAACATCATTTCGGATCGCATTGAAGAGCGAAACGGAGATATCATTGCTGCGCCTCTCGTCCACAATACATCGGATATTGACAAAGCAGCTGCACTTTCTTTGGCGGAAGTCATGGGAGACACTGTCTTCAGCACAATGCCATGGCTCGAAGGAACGTCACCTATGCCAGATGGGTCTACTCCAACAACTCAAGATATCGCGGACATGCTGGTTCGCAACAGCTACCAGCCCGCACTAGCAATCATTGGATGGGACCATGCTGTTATGCCGGCCCTCGACAAAGGCGGAAATGTTGTCCAACCATACATTGAGGCCAAGCTCAGCATTCGATGCTCTCCTTACACCGACGTCTTTTCTGCAGCGGAAGAGTTGAAGCGCTTGATTGAAGCCCCTCCACATGCGCATGGAGCCAACGTCACGTTCACCATCGGTGGCACTTCGCCAGGGTTTGCAGCCGATCCACTTCCAGCTTGGTATCAGAACATTGTCAATGAAGCAGCCGTGCCAATCTTCGGGGCTGAAATGTTAGATGTTGGCAAGGGTGGAACGATTGGTTTCCTTGCGACAATTCAAAAGAAGTTGGAAGGATCCATCATCCACAACACAGGACTTTTTGCTCCGTCCAGCAAAGGACATGCGCCCGATGAGTCCTTGGACATTGAGGCTGTAAAGAAGTTCACCAGCGTCATGACGTACACCCTTCAGAGCCTCATGACTGCCGACAGGACTGTCGAAGAAGAGCCTACAACCGTGGGTCGAGCCGGAGACGGAGCTTGAGGCGTCTTCAGGTTCGGCCCAAGGAAGTCTTTCAACTAGTCTCTCGGTGTTGTTGACGATCGGTTGCATGATGATGGTTTCGGTGTGAAAAGGTTGACGGTGCGAGGAGCGAGAGAGAGTTTTAGAGAGCGAAGCAACGAAGAAATAACTAAGAACAACACGGATAAGCAAATAAACAGGACGTGCATGTAATCGTAGAAAGGCGAGATCACGGTGCTTGCCATCGGTTGTCGTACGTACTGGTACCGGGTAGGGCTCGGCTCCAGTGCGCTGGCTTGAACGACGACAACGGAGAACGGAGTTCACGCGACCTCCTGTCTTCTCTTTCTCGACAGGTGTAGAAAGGAGCTGCCTTGAGAGGTTGACGTTCGATCTCTTCGTCGCCATGCCGCCGCAGTACAGTAGCAAGAAAAAGGAGGAAACAACTACTGTATACGGTACCGGTACGGTACCGCTAGAGGCCGAAACCGGTTCCTCGCGTCTCCTTCGCGAATGATATCGCCAGCCGAGACACCGCCACTGACCAACCCTAGTAGAACGAAGAGATTGATGCTTTTGTGCTAGTAGTATAAAATAAGACTACCTAATATATTTCTTGTTTTTCTCCTTTTCCATCCAATAGGCAATGCTCCCACTGCTAGTGAAGGGTATTTTGTTGGCATCGCGGTTGAAGATAGCAATGCCACTGTGCAGCTTGTACATCTTTCTAGCTGCCTGGATAGTCACAAATCTGAGCTCTGTTTGCTTTGCCCTTTCCGTTTCCACAGAACCTCTCGGATCAAAGCTTGGTTGCCACTGCTATCTTCACTTGCACCCGAGGCCAAGGAAGCGGAGCCAACGATGGATGGTGTTGTAGCCAAGGTCTTCGAGTTCATTTGCTTTCAGAAATTTCTCAGTCGTAACCTTTTGCTCCGCAGCAAGCTGTGGAATAAGAGTGCCACGGACAAAGTCTCCCATAATTTCAAGTGAGAGGTGTTGGATGTCCTTGTTCCCATATTCTCGAATGGCAACGGCAGCTTTTGGGTGGTTGTCAAACAGGGCAATCCTTTCTTTCATCAATGGATTAGGGAACCTTCGATGTACTCGAAGCTGCCGCAGCCACGTGTGGATTGTTGTTGGATTGGTTATGGAACGATCACCTGTCACTGTTTGGATTTCTGCCATTGCTTGTTTGCGCTTTTCTCCAAATTGGAGACTCTGTTTCTCTGCATCGGTTTCAAGCGCCAGAGTAATGGCACGGAGCAAATATGATGCTCTCATGTTGATCTCGGCAGCCAGTTTTTCAACGCTGAGATCATCAAAGTGCATTTCGATTGGTTCTCCATCGTAGTTGTCAACAAAGTATGTCTCGGGATCCGACTTGCCAAGACCATGAATCAGCTCTTTGGCATGTTCCGTGCTCTTGGCAGCATTCCTCAACAGTGCCTGGAGATGTTGAGCAGCATCTTTAGCCGTTTCCCCTTCTCTTGCACCAAACAGCTTCTTCACCTCCGTAGAGTACCAAAAGTTGATCATTGAATACAGTTCGAGAGACATGTATGGCTTCAGTGACAGCTGAGTGGCACTCAATCTCTTCATCCATTCCGAAGCGTTCACAACAGCAGCTCGTGGCAACCTTGGAACGGATCTTGAGAAGTCTGCATAAATAGCCGTTTCTGTTCCAATTTGATGAATGTAAATCTTTTTTGATCTCACTCCCAGCAAAACTGCATCAACAACATCATTGAATGATGGATGCAATAACCCTTCAAGAACCTTGTCCATGGAAAACTGAAGACAATACGTATCTGCGACAAGGGCAGTTGACCGGTCAAGGTTCGAAAGACGCTGGCAAGCATCCACAACTGTTGACAATGACCACCATCGTGCTTGAATGGCTTCATTTTTCTTGAAAAGAGCCAGCACTGACTCCACCATCTGCCGAATTTGCTTTGACAATGCATTGGTTTCCGCCGCCTCGAAGGCTCGACAAAGGCTCCTTCCGCCTTGGACGCCCTCCAAAGGAAGCCTTTTATGGACAGGAGTTACCGGAGTTTGGTTTGGTGACGCTGGTGTTCTCTGGGCTTGCTTTCTCTTTGGTTTGTCGAGTGATGAGATGGTTGGCGACAGGTAACTCCTCGGCTGTCGCGCCACAGCGCCTGGGGAGGAGCTATTCTCTCTGTTGTTTTCCTTTCCCATCATTGTCAACGACGACAATGAATTGTGTCTGGATGGCCACATCCTTGCAATCGTCTTCATTGGAGCTGCTCCCTTTCAAACGACCCGGAAAAAGGGGCACATAGTGTGTAGCACATTCAATCGGAGTTTTGACTGTACTCATATTTGAATCATTCTTATTGCAACGAAACTGAAGGAGGGTTGTTAGTTGCGATCGTGGAGATGCGACAGGGGACTTTTACGTACCGGTAATACGTAGGTGCACCTGACCGGTAGGTGCGCGGAGTGGAAAAGTGGGCACACGGATATCCACGCTTTCGAGGAAGGGATAATGGATAATATGTACCAGAGCACGTAGGTTGCTGCACATACATTGAGTCGAGTCACGACAGCAGACGTGTTACTCTCAAAAATCCCGTCCAGTTTGGCTGGTTGTTGTTAATTAATTCAATCATGTGAAAAGGCCTAGGAAGTGACGTGTAACGTAAGAAGACTCTGCAAGTACTGTACTTGATCGTGAGAACATTTGGTGAATTAGGATTTAACACTTAATCCCTGCATGTATCTGAAACCAGCGGCAATGCCTAAACAGCGTAAACATGCTGACACAATTCACATCTCTTTTTGTTCGCTGTGAAAGGGTGTCTGTGTTGTGTGTGTTGATGCGGAGACTGGAAGAGTATCATTGCATCATTGTCAACACCCAATGCAACAAACCCTCGTCAGCCAAACAAAACTACCCACCATTTATACTGTATCTGGGGGTCTTTCATATAGATAGTATTATAAGAACAAAACAATCCATTGACCATGGCGGACGACAACCTCTCCCACATTAAATACAGCGAGGACATTTCCAGTCTCTCCGATGCCCAAGATATGATCCTGGCGATTCTCCCCATTATTCCAGCATTGCTGAGCGCGACCGGTTCCGCCGCCATCATTCACATGGTCTTGACATCCGCACGAAAGACTCCCTACCGAAGAATCATGATGGGTTTGAGTTGCTACGATTTGTTGAGCTCGCTCATGTATCCACTGCAAGCGTTCTTGTTGCCCCGCGACACGTCGCAACGACTGTGGGCCATTGGCAACCGCGCCAGCTGCAGTATGCTGGGATTTTTCATAATCATGTTTTTCAGTGCCGCCTGGTACAGTGGCACATTGTCGTGCTATTTTTGTTTGACGGTCAAATTTGGCGTCCGAGAACGCGATTTTGCGAAACGGTACGAACCGTATATGCACGCCGTGTCGATTGGGTATCCACTATTGGCGGCCATTGTCGGACTGAGTTTGGGTACCTATCACGAAATTGAAATTGGGGCATCGTGCGGGGTCACCAATTGGCCAGAAGGCTGTGGATGTCGAGAAGGAGCGGAAGAAGAATGCTGTTTGTCGCCTATATTGGCATGGGTGTTGGGAGGCATTCCACTCTTTCTCATTTTTTGCACCATTCTCGTCAACAATCTGCTCGTGTTCTGTCATGTCCGAAATACCATTGCCAAGAGTCGTCGATTCATGAGCCGAAGTCTGCAACACTACTCCACAGCAACCACAGCAACTCGCCGTGGCAGCATGAACCGTCGTGCTAGCTTTACTACCGCCATGAGTCGTCGTGCGAGCTTGAACAATTCCATGACAGAACTACCACAACAAGCATCACCAGCACGAGACGCCCAGACGGAACGAATACGGTCCGTGGCCATTCAAGCATTCCTCTACGTGGCGAGTTTTTTCATTACACAATCGGCCTTTGTGGCACTGCGAATCATGGAATCGAGAGATTACGATGCCGAAGATGAAGATGCCCTCTTTCCCTTGTTGGTACTACAAACCTTGACACTTCCCAGTCAAGGAATCATGAACTGTCTCATTTATGCCCGTCCTGGCTATTTGAGGGCGCGCAAGGAATATCCCAATGAAAGTCGATTCTGGGCGTTTCGTCGGGCGTTGCATGGCGACAAGGTGCAACCGTCGGATGACGATGACGACGCATACGGTGAGGATACACGCACCCGTCGTGGCAAAAACAACGACAACAATACGACGACCGGTATGAATACCAGTCGGCCATTTGGTGGTTTGAATTCCAGCAAGCCAGAACTGGTGGAGCTGGTGGACGTTGAAAACGCCGCTGCTGCCAATGTTGACCCGGGAGAGACGGACGAAAATGCTATAGAAATGGCATCCTTGGGATACAACACGTTTCATGACGACGACAATAATGGCAAAAGCGACGCAGACCATGAAAATAACAACAATGTGGTGGCCAACAACAATTTCGATGATGCCAATGACGACAGACAGGGATCTTATAACGAGTCCTGCAGCTTTAACGATGACGATAATGGCGGCCACGATGAACTTTTCAAAATTGGAACCAATGGTACCTGCGAGGAAGCACAAGCTTCATCACGTCACCATGAAACAATCTTCGATGACGCAAACGAGGGAGAAGCGTCCGAGATCATGGGAAGAACGCTAAATGATGGCCATCACGGGGATAATATGGTGGAAGCAGCAGAGCGCACCGATACTGCTCAGGAGTCGAAAGAGTCCGGCTCGGAGGAGACCGAACACGAAAGTTTGTCCGCAATCAGCAAAATTGGAGGATCTCATCATTCTTCCAGTAGTCGAGCAGGAAGAGAGTGTCAAGCGTAGAGAAAGGAACCAACCGTTCATGTCCACAACAAACATGAATTTGAAAATCTCCTGATCATCATCTAGAGATCTCACCAATGCCGCCTCGTGTGTCCAACTAACTGGCGCCACACGATCAAAAATGGAATCTTCCGCATAATTTCCATCCTTGGTTTGTCAATCATGGTGGCCTTTGCCAACGCCAGCCAAGCGCGAGATGATGAAGCCTCTGCCATCTTCGCAATCACCACGGTGAGAACCTGATCATCAATGAAAGCATCGAGAGAAGGACATCGAAGAGTTGAAGCTTTGCACTTCAAGTGTTTGGCACAGGCAGTGGCTCGAAACCTACAACATCACACTTCGGAAGCTACTTACGGTTCAACGGCGTCCAACGTTGACGCTTGCAAAGCACATCCTTCAATAGCCTCCTATGCTGCTACGTGTTCTTGCAAACGCCCACGCAGCGCGAACGGCGTGAATCAGATAGTAGTGGCACGCAAAACGAGGGATTTAGGAAAACCGTGGCTGCTACTCAACATTCTCCTCTACGGCACGGCACCGTAACAGCGTCCTGGCCTGCTACAATACTCCAGTGCCGGTTGCATTCACCTGCCTCTGCAGCATATTTTCGGTTCCCAATTCGCTGATCACTCGCAAGGTGTGTCACCTTTGAAGCCTCTAGAATGGTCTTGCCAAAAGCGTGTAAAAAAGGAGATGCTTGCACTGCAGAAGACTTCCTGATGGTGTTGTGGTGTCGGCTTGCTCTGTACGTACCGCTATGAAGAAGGGTAGCTGGAGTAAATATAACATTAGGGTTAACGTGCTGGTCCTACTGATTGAAATTGTTTTACCGCAACTCCTCACTTTCTGTGTTGTTGGTGAGGACGGAAATGTTTGCTGTCACTCGAATTACCTTCTCTACGGTACCGGCCATAGCAACGATCGGCAGCATGATTCGATTCGCATCACATCGCCAGTAGTCTCCATCACAATCGCAAATTCTACCGTACATCGTACCTGTAGGGTGTCAGCGGGTCTTGCTTGGGAAAGTGTCGTCGTGACCAGGCACGTCAGCGGGTCTTGGTTCGAGGAGGAGGGCGTCGTGACCAGGCACACCCGGTTGACAGAAACGATCACAAGAGTCGCCTTTTCCCAATTCGATTCGACTCATTTCTAACAACTTGCTCCAGTCTACCAGTAGATAAAACTAATGAATCAAGTCCAACAAGGAGATGCCCAAGCTTTGCGGTTGCAGCGCGTTTTCGTGGCCGCTGTGGCCATTCCGGTTTTGTTGACGACGATTCCCATGTATGGCATCTCGTTTGCTCTTGCAGGTCCAGAGCACATGTGGCAATCAGCCACTCAAGTCTACTCAAGGGTTGCCACAGAGACATACTTGTTTCGACACTTGAAGCGAATGACGAGCAACGATACCAGCGGTAACTCAAAAATGACAGGGCTTTTCCGTTACTACTGGCTTCATCCGTTCTTTGCCGGGTCGTCCATCTTGACTTCGGGAGCTCTCTTGTACCACATGATGTCACAAACCCCAAACTCGGATCAGAAGGATTCCATGACGACCACTCTGCTGTCAGTGACAAGCCAAACACCGTTGCTGCCGACGTTCATCAATGCAGTAGCCTGTTGTTCCATGGCCTACTTTGGCGGTAAACTGGTGCCCACCATGTACGGCAACGCTTCCATGAGACGATGGACTCGTGTTCAGCAGTACTTGGTGATGAGTCTGAGCATCCTCGGCTTGATGTTGCGCCTGGTGGTGACGTCTTCGCTTTCGACGAGCCTCCTCGGATTGGAGATGCTAGTCTGCAGAATTCAAGTTTTTGTATGCGCCTGGAATTTTACATTGCTGGCTTGTGCTGGAATCTTACAGCGGGTCTACGTCCTGAGCATTCTTCCCTTTGTGATGCAGTTCTACCATGGGGGCAATTACAAAGAACGAATATACATTGAGGTCTTCTCGGAACAGGGCAAGTATGCCACAATGCTAAGCCTTTCGTTGGCTATTCATCTGTGCAACCGGACTTTGCAGGAAGTCTGATGTCTGGATTGAGTGACAGCGGCAATGAATGGTGAGAAAAGGGGAATGACTGTTAGACCCGGTATAGCTAGAGTGTAATCAATCTGTAACATCAATCACAATGCTTCGTCGACCCATGCAAGTATAGATAGATTCTCCTTCCTTCTTGTCGACGCCGGACAGGAATCAACGGCGAGGCGACAGAGAGCAACAGAATGCTACAGTACTGGCATGGAAGCGCTGTCGGTGCGGTTTGCGGGGCTGTTGAGCAGTTTCGAAGGCGACGCAATTTGACCGTCATTTGATGAGCACCTCTACGGCTACGAAGTGAAAACGAAACGAACTGGGATGGTTTCCAACTTTTCAACGAGCCATTTGAAGAACGTTTCCGAAGATCGTTTCCTCCATCAAGTCCACCCAACATCCTTCAGACCATGCGAGTGGAGCTTGTTCTGTTCATAAAATCAATCGAGCAAGACTTGAAAAGCAACATCAACCAAACAATCACTCAATCACTCAATCAATCAACTAACTACTTCACCATGACATCCATCCACAAGAACGCAAAGAACGTCACCTTCGCCACCACCAACAATGGATCCTCCATGGACAACAACAACAAGACCAAAGCTCCCACCAACAATGTTGCCTCGGCTATTGAAATGTTCGGGGGTAAAGGCAAGAAGAGTCTCATTCAACAGCAAAAGGACAAGTTGGAAGAGAAATGGGCTGAGGAACGGGCCATCAAGATGGTCAAGAAGAACAAGTGGAAGGTTGGTGGCTCTGGCTCTGGCAGTGGCGTCTACAAGAAGCGTGTTGTTTTGGACTTCCAAAACAAGAACGACAAGCAAAAGGTTGATGGCGCCGATACCAAGAAACGCTTCGAGTTGGCATAAAAATTCTCCTTCACACCGACTAGCTAGTCATACTGTAATCAATACTAGCATTCGGTGACCAAAACCTCTTCTTCTTGTTTTCTTTTAGAAAGTCATTAGCTATGTGCCCGCCACAAAGCCCTCTCCTACAGGGCCATGTACTGTCGCTGTCGGTGCAATGTCGGGAGTTGAAACATTTTCCACGCTCCTCCTCCACGAACTCATGACTGACGTACCCCTCCATTTTTTTTGGCTTCAACCTTCAACCAACTCTTGGCTCTCACCGCATCTTCTACCAACAAGATGCCATTCCGAAGACGCTACCACCCTCCAATTGACCCATCCTCTTCTAGTTTAATATAACAAGGAACGGCTCAGCAGACTCTCTTTTGGAACGATGCTGCTCCGAAGACTTCCATCGCTACTGCTACTGTTTGCACCCGCAACGGCTTTTGTTCCGAGGTCTCCTTCTCGAGGAGGTTCATCGCGGGGTAGTACATCATTGGCGGCCCTCTCGGAGCGACAACAACAATTTTGGGAAGACGTGGAGAGTGGCTTGGACGATATTGCCGATTTCTACCAGAGCAAAAGGAATCTGGATATTGATCGAATCCGGCTATTTGGAAAAAGGTGAGTTGTGTGGCTGAGCAAGTAAAATTCATGATATCTGTAGTGCTTGATTCGAATCGAATCAATCATGCTAACATCCATCCAACTTACTAGTGCCCGAGGAGAAATAGATCCACCCAAAGGATCCATGGAAGGTCATGATCCTTCTGAGGAACATGTCGATGGATTGACGGCACGGCCCTTTTGGGATGCGGCCGACATGCCCGAGGAATTCCCCTGGGCGCCACAGTTGGAAGAAAAGGCCGACATTATTCAACAAGAATTCGCCGCCAAGCTGGCAGAACAGGAGAGCCAAATGTTTGCATCGGACTCGGCGTGGCAGAATCAAGTCATGGGTGGCGGATGGAGTGCCGTGAGATTACAACGATTGGGTGTCTGGAACGAAGAAAACTGCCGACAATTCCCACAAACCTACGAATTGATCCGATCCCTCAATATTCCACTGGCGGTACGAGGGGTCTGCTTTGCCCGACAGGCACCGGGATCCGGCGTGCAGCCGCACAGCGATGGGCGCAATTTCATTCTTACATCCCATTTGGGCTTGAAAATTCCGGAGGCATGTTGGATTGAAGTGGGCACGGAACGACGCGGATGGGAGGAAGGCAAACTAACAACCCTGGATACATCATTTACCCATTCGACGGGCAATCCGTCCTCCGAAGATCGACACGTTCTGATTATTGATTACTGGCATCCAGAATTGTCAGAAGCCGAACGAGCTGCACTGGAGTTTGTTTATGATTTGAGAAACAAGTTTGAGAGTGGTCTTGTGCCAATGCGCAGACCGAGGGGTACATTTGCCCCCAAAGACGAACAGCAAGAAGAAGGTGGGCTTGGAGCGTGGTTCAGTAAGAATTTTGGTGGTGACAACTAAGTAATTAGAGATCTACGTCGCTAGCTCCTGTTTTGGTGTTGATGGCTGGCTGCTCCAGAATATTAGATCAGCTATTTGGCGACCGTCGGCTCGGAGGAATAGAACCGCTCCAGTATACCGTCATGATTCCCTTAGGTTGTTACGTTACACCAGATCTAAGGGCATCATTCCCTTGGGTTGTTACTTTAGACCAAATTACCCTCAATCATTCAGGAACAGTGTTTAATTTTTTAAAAGTCGATACCAGTAGCTAGGAAGAGTGGCAGAGTGACGGATTCATGGAGAGAAAGTAGTATAGACAGCTCAGATCATGAAGCGAGTCAATGAGGACCTCCACCCAGTCAATCCTTCTATTATACATGACATCACTCCTTGCCCTTTTTGAGCGGTGTCGTTGCTGGCGTTTTGTTTGGATACTCGTCGGATCCTCTCTGCTGCAGAACAGCCGTCGTCTGCCTAGCTTGTTGAGTTTCAGGTAGAATGCAATCTCGGCGTGATGGCTGAATCCACACAACATGGAAAATGTCTCCAAATGGTAGTTCCAGCCAATGGCGTGGCAAAACGCAGCTTGCATATGCGGGTGGCAAATTGGATGTTGTTGATCCACCTGCGTGGGAGTTAGAAGACGCGATTGATAGTGTGCGCTTGTCATTAGTCGAAAGTCTCTTAGCTGAGACGTTTGCAAGGAATCTGCCAAGAACAAGCAGGATGCTTTGGTTGCTCCCCTGTCATCCGATTCCAGCTCTTTGATCCATACATGCAAGAGCTGGAGGGTCCCAATTGAAAGCAGTTTGCCCAATGCCAAAATCCCCTGGCTTCCAACATGGCAAGATGACAGGCGTATCTCTTTGAGTTGGCATTGATTGTTGGCTTGTATCGCTTGCGCAATGCCTCCCAGGTGATCATCAGTCAAAGTGAAGTCGTAGATCAAGAGCTTGGTTAAGCTTGCTGATTGGCATAGCGATGACATGGATTCTACGGACACATTCTTGGGAGTTGAGGAAGGGTTTCCCACGTGACTACTGAGACCATTCAGTGTCACTATTTTCAAAGCTTTCATCGATCCCACTGCCTCCAGCAATCTCTCCTGTCCGAGCGGAACGCTGGACGCCCCACCAAACAGAATACTGCCGTTGAAATAGAGTTCCTCAAGACTATCATGACTCTGAAGACTCCCGGCGAATTGAGTCCACTCTTCTTCGGTTCCATTTGTGATCATACGACCGACCGAAAAGCGCGTACATTTCCTTGCGTGCTGCAGCAATTGGGCAAGTCCTTGAATTGGAAAGGAATAATGTGGAGACGTTGGGCCAGTAATGCAAAACTTTCGGATCGTTGGAATACTCCCCAGTGATTTCAAAAGTGCCATCAGGCGATTTTTGCTCTTTTCATCGCCAAGTCGAGTCCCTTCCTCAATGGTCGATGGGCAGGTACACAGAAAAGTGGCGTTGTTGACGGTGTTGTTGCCGTGTAGGGCAGCCGTAAGATCCCCCATAAAATTTTCGTCCCCGTTAAGCCACACATCCAAATCAGTCATGTTGGGATCATTATCTCGCAACAGACCGAGCTTTGCAGCAGGAGAAGTGGTCATCGTTGACCTGTCGCGCTGTTGCGACGTTCTTTGGCAAAAGACAGCTGTTGCTATGGTGCCGAACAAGACTGTTGGTACGGTGCCGAACAAGACGGCTTCGTGGAATTGAAAGCAATGTCACCAGGACCCACCAGAAAATTTTGATGCATAGCTCGCTTCTACTGATTCCTTAAGTTTGCGTACGTTGCGCCTCTCCAATGGTCCAGGAAGAGTGCGCTAAGCTGCATTTGTCGAGGACAAACTCTTTTGTCATTTCGGAGACAGCCCACTTCGCGACTGTCAGTCGACTGAAGATTGTCACTCACGCACGCCAGCGAGTCGGAATCAATCACACTTGCGACCAACAAAGCACGAATGATCAAACATCGATGCATGATGAATGAATCTTCATTCATCCATTTAGTATTTGTTTGTACTTCATCAATCCAACAGACCCAGCGATGGAAAGGAAAGGTTCCGCCTTCCCAATCGAGGTGTATTTCCCGCCCTACAACATTTTTTCGGGCATGCCAGTACAGTCTCTGTGCATGTGGTGTTGAAGGTTGGAAATGAATAATAATTGTTTTCTAATAGTTTTGGTGGATGGGGCGAAGTATCGCACGGAGCGATTCATTCAATCACAGCGGCACTTCCGTTGTGTCAAATTGCCCACTTGGCCCCGCTGCTTCGAATTCAAAGCACTAATAATAAAAACCCACCTTGAGGTAGATTGTTACGATTTCGTTCTGCGCTGGATTGTTTACTGATAGTCGCTTCACGAACCGAGAAACACAATTTTATCAGAACTCGCTCTCCTTGGTGAAGCCAAAATGAGCGCGAAGCAAGTTTACTGCTACCGGTACAGTACTGTACAGTGGCACGGTGGACACGGCATGCATGGAAAAAACAAAACAAATTTTGCGCTATTGCAGGACTCTAGACTCTCACAACTTCACTAACTGCTTTCAAGATTATTTTACAACACCGCAACAACGCACCAAAGGCAAACCAATGACTCAAGCAGAAAATTACGCTGACAGGAGTATGCACAAGGAGTGCAGCAAACTTCACAAACAGTACAGCCAGGTTTACAAACAGCAGAACACAAAAATTCCAGTCAAAACAACAGGCAAAGACCTTTGGCTGGAGACAAGGAAATCAACCAGGTTCAGCTGCAAACTGAGATGGGAGAAAAGCTAAAATTCAGACCCAGCAGAGCGCGTTTGACAAAGGAAAGTCTCACCTAATTTATTAGCCACGTCCCTGTCTTGTCAAATATTCTGATACTCCTCAGAAATATCTGTAGGGGGTCCCTCAAAGCAGCCCCTTTTCTTCTTCTATCCACAAAATATCCCTACAAGTCTTGGAGTGATTGCTACATCAGCGACCTGCAAGGAAGGTGGTCGGAAGTGGTTGAGAATTGTCAAAAACGGCGAAAATGCGAAGATATGGCGGCAAGACAGTCAAAACGGCTAAAACGAACAAATGGCAAAAGTTGCAGGAAAGTGGGAAAAGTGACCCCCCAATCACTGGTACCTGGTACGATGTACCCCTTCCATTCAACCCGATCACTGAGATTCTTCCAAAAAACAAAGCAAAATGAAAATGAGAAAAATATGCCAGTCTACTTCGCACACAGAATTTGCAAAAATGAAAAAGTCTTTTTCAACTACTACCGGTACCTTCAATTTCCAATTGAGCAACAGAGAGTCTTCCAGTCTCAAGTCGCCTTCATGATCATGAGTAAGCCCACATCGCTCCGTCTCCCAATTGATGAGAGGTCTCGGCAATTTTCTCCCCAACCCTTGAAGTCAGCACTGACCTCCTGTACTTACCCAAAGGAAAGGACACATTTTCTGACTTGCAAGCTGCAGCGAGAAAGGTCCACGCAACTTGCAGACATGGCGAGAATCCAACAGGCGATCCATTCATGAGAAAATCCACGCTGCTCCCTTTGCCAAACAACGGTTCACTTGCCAAAAGTATTTTTTTCAGTAACTACTGTGGAAGGAGGAAAACAGACAAAAATGACACACTAAGTCTTGCTTGAAGCGATGCACTGGGTCTTGGTCACAGCCGCGAGTTGCAGAGATGTGAATAATCCACCCAACATGGGCATTAAAAATTCCATCTGCCAATCTCTTCCTGGTTTTCGTAGGCTTGCATTCCAAAAATAGTTTACTGGTTCAGGTGAGCTCCCAATCAAGGCGACAAAGGTCAATTCTCTTGCACCCCACCAAGATAAACTTGTCCAAAGGAAAATTGTCGAACCAGAAGTTGGACAGCAAAACACCCAACGACCCAGATAATTCGGTTTTGGTCGTAAAGAAAACTGTTCCATGGGAGGAAAGGACTTGTTGAACTAGAGTGCTTCTTGCTAGTTGTTTTCTAGAAGCAAGAGATATCCTCTTAATGTATTGGGGCCTCAAGGTAGAAAAGATGACAAGAGTCAAAAAGTAAGAGCGAACAGTCCTGCAGTGGCTGTCAATATCCAGAGATCAGGTTTCCTGTCGCGTTGCTTCTTGCCAATGAAAGGTTGTCTGATGGTACTTGATAACAAAAATTATCCTCGCCCAACCGAAGTGAGGGATATACCCCAAAGAAAAATTCCTCATGTTGCCCCAACTACACCATGACCTCCAGAACTGAAATGATAGTAGACCACTCCATTTTAGAGCGAACGGATGGACCAAAACGCTCTCATCAAGGGAGTAAAAAATAAAATGCCAGGTACCGGTAGCTCATCTTTGGGCCACGAAATCATCTGATGTCGGCCTTTCATCATCGTCGCAACCACACCGAAAGTTGATTACCATACTCCCATGTTGCCAGCCAAGGTAATTTATTTAAGTATGCCATGGTCGTCGCCCTCTCTTCCAGAGCTCCTTCCATCATGGCCGTGGCAATTGGAGATTGGAGGGTTGATGGATGGATGATGGATGCCAAAAAGAAGCCATCAGAAGAAACAAAAGCCCACGATCGAATGATCGCGCTTTTTTGCTGAAGATCTGGGCTGACGTCACTACGGAATTCTCAGTACAAATCTTCGGTAGAATGATGGGTGTGCTCTAAATGAGAGCCATCAATCACTGACGTTGCTGTTCGCGCAAAAGGTATCTTTGGCTAATAGCCGTTGCTGTGCGGCAGTGGCTTGCCATGTCGATGGCAAAAGGCTACACGTAGGGCAGCTGGAGAGCCACAAGACCAACCGGGGCTACACCGGCTTCTCAAACAGGATCGCTTTGCTCTGGGAACTAGTATGGATCCTCCGATGTCGCCCTCCATCAAATACGTATGCGCTCAGCTGACGATTTTCGCCTAACAAAAGCACGGAGTACCGAAAGCTACAGTACCCCCTGCTCGAGGCATCGCTCTTTTGGATTGATCTGATCTAACCCATCCATCAACTCTTCTCACAATTCCATCAACTCACAAGTTTCAATCAACTTCAATACAATCAACCTTTTCAACCATGTTCCAAAAGACTGTCATCGCCCTTCTCCTTGCCGGAGCCACCGCTTTCGCCCCCAACACTGGCTTCTCCCGTCAGTCCACCGCCTTGAACAACGACAAGGTCAAGGAACTCATTGCCGAGCAACTCGGTGTTGATGCCGACAAGGTTGTCCCTGACGCCAAGTTCATTGACGATTTGGAAGCCGACTCCCTTGACACCGTTGAGCTCATCATGGCCATCGAAGAGGAATTCGACTGCGAAATCCCCGAAGAGGATGCCGCCAAGATCACCACTGTCGGAGAGGTCATTGCCTTCGTTGACAAGTTGTAAGCAAGTGACAACGCCTTATTTTGCACATAGAATCAAGCGTTCCACTCTTGGATGTCTTTTTGGCTGAGCTTGTGATGCCTCGTGCATTGCAGCTGGCGGGACATCACTTTCGATTGAGCTGATGGGAAAGACACAACGATTTAGGTCTAATAGATCATTAAGGTTTAATAGCCTGCTACATTAAAATTACTGACTGTCTTGTAGCTTCGTTTACTATACCTGACCTCTTCTGTGAAAACCCCACGAGCCCTGGCTTCACGGGAAGATCTAGAAAAGCGTTCGGAAGCCATCACATCATGTATCTTCTATCGACAGGGGACAGCCAGCTGGCCATCAACAACAGGAAATGGTCACCTGTTGGTGTCATGCCGGCACACCAGCTGCCGCTCCTCTCAGGATTGGCTGCGTTGTGATTCTGAACATCATGGCGGCCGTGTACTAATAGTGGTGGTACAGTTAGGTCGATGTGGGACAGCATCCGCCACCAAGGGTGTAGTGGAACCGAACACTATCTGGCGTTGATCCACTACGCACGGCAGCAAAGAGACCACTATTCCTCGGACAGGTAGGTCCCGGAAGTCGATGGTGATCAACCACGGATTCGCTTTTGAGCAATCTCCTGCTGTCTACGAACAGGGAACGAGCTACGATAGTGGTTGCTTGGTCATTGGAAAAAATTACATGGTGGTCTCTCCACGGAGTTGGATTGACGACATGTACCCTTAGCTAAAGTGGTGTAACAACGTTCTGAGCTAGTAGGTGTAAAAGCAGATTGGTATTCGAATATCCTCTGAGGCCCTACCGTACCAAAGCCATCCACTCAAGTAGTATACACACTGGTAGTATCAATGGTCCTGATTGAATTAAAGATTCGGTTGATGCAGGGCACATGCCTTTGGGCCCGGCAGAAACTGACATAAAATGTCGCTGGCAGATGTATATTATGGCGCGTCAAAATGTTATGGTGACCCGCATGAATTTTAAGCGGATTGTCGTGCCACAGCCTCCTCTATTTTCTTGGATATTTTCACAATATCGACATTTCCACCACAGAGAATAATGCCCACATTCGAGTACTCCTGTGTTGGATACTTTGCCTGGAATTCTTCCCCCAAGCAAGCGGCAATTCCCACACCCGCACTGGGCTCGATGCAAATTTTAAGCCGTTCCCAAATGAGTTTGGTAGCCAACAATATTTCATCCTCTGTCACTGTCAAAATGTCGTCTGCTTTGTCGCGTATAATGGGCCACGTATTGGGCCCCAAGGTGGTCTTGAGCCCATCAGCGACGCTGTCCAGGTTGTTGGACGGATCGTGCGGCAGTAATTCCTTGGCTTCAAAGGAACGTTTGGCGTCATCCAATTTGGCAGGTTCTGCAAGGACGATCTAGAAAAAACCAGCAAGTGGTATCCGTAAAGAAAAGCAAGGATTGTCGTGTCAGAAAAGGAAACATAATTCGACGCAATCTGTCCTTGCTGAAAACGTGATCCTGCAACAAGTAGTACTGTACATCCACATCCTAGAATGAACTAGTTGAACACGATTGAAGTTGCATACCTTGACCTTGTCACCCAGCACACTGCGCAATGTAATGATATTGCCAGATGCCAATCCTCCACCACCCACAGGAATAATGACCACATCCAATGGTTTGTCCGTCAATTCTTGGACTTGTTCCAACATTTCCAGGCACACAGTCCCTTGTCCCGCAATCACCCGAGGATCTTCACTCGGATGAATAAAGGATGCACCTGTGTTTTGTCGAATTTCCTCTGCCTTTTCTCTTCGTGCCTTGTTGGTGGGTTCTACCATGACTATCGTGGCTCCAAAATCTTGTACGGCATTTCGTTTGACGGTCGGAGTGTTGGAAGGCATGACAATGGTAGCTTGAACGTTAGTGGAAGCAGCAGTAGAACCAGTTGTAGCACTACCACCAGCCAATTTGGCAGCCAACGCCAGTGCTTGGGCATGATTGCCCGAGGAGTGGGTCAGCACATGCAGTGCTGTATCGTTGTCTGCCTTTTTTCGTCGCTCCAACTCTTCCTTGACGGCATTGAGAGCTCCCCGGAATTTGAAGGATCCAGTCTTTTGCAAGGCTTCTACCTTGAAAAAGAGATGGCGACCTTTGGACAAGCCATTGAGAGAGGAACAAGTCAACACGGGGGTACGATGAGCAACGCCTGCAATACGGCCAGCAGCCGTCTTGACGTCGTCAATTGTAATGCAATAGGGCGATGTCATCGTGAAACTCCCATTCCAGGTAATGCTTGGAACAACCGTTGGAAATGACGCGTATGGAAATTAAAAATGCAAAATAGCAAAATTAAGATATTTCACCCCCCGTCTCTTTAAAAAAACACAACTGGGGGGGGGTCTGGACGTCTGGACGGTGGAGCGAAAAGCGATTCGATTCGATTCATCGTTCGATCGAATGATCAATCAATCATCATTCGCGATCTTCGAACACCCCCGGGGTTTCAATACAGTTTACCGGTACCCCCACCGTCCACTCCAACCTCTTCGGACTGTAATAACATTAGCCCACTCTGCGGCTCACACATAGTAATCACATTGTTAGAAAGATGGAAGAAGACAACGCTGATGCCAATGAAGATCATGGCGATGCTCAAGGTGAAACCGGTAACTCTACTAGAGATGTTGAGAATCCTCCAGACCAGTTTGACGACGACTCAGCAGTAATGGATTGCCTCATCAACCGAGCAGAGGCAGAAGCCGCACAACACTACCAAGATGAAGAATCTTATGCTATGAAAGCTCAGGAAAAAGACAAAGGGCAAAGGGAGGCCATGAAGACACCTAATACTTCTTCTTCTACTACTCCTACTAAAAACACAAATAATGAAGCCAAGTCAGAGGAAGATACAACAAAATTCACGGAGATTGGGGCGGAACAAGCTGGTCTCCCAAATGAAAAAGAGAGACAGACTGCTGCCGATACAGGTATACAAGGGTTGCAAGGAAACACAGGGCCGACAGCTACAGGGGCCCATCACATGAAACCAAGTGCCGCCGTGGGTTCTCTTCCATTTTTTCGCGATCTTGACAAAAACAGGACCACGACTTTGAAGGCCACCAATAATGCAACAAGTAGGAACAATCCCCATATCATCCACCAAGAACGAAACCCAGAGCAACCAACGGTGAATTCTGCTACAGCAAGTGGCGAAGCAGTAGACAGAGACCACAATCCTATGGTACCAATAAACCAACCAACGGATGTAACTACCAATCATCAAGCTTTATTGAATGGTTTTGTAGAACGGATTGAGCCAATCCCACTGGCACCTACAACTTTGCAACGAGAAGCCAATCAACGGCCACAATCTCGCCCAGGAGCCTACACAGGCGAAAACTTGCAGCGTGTTCAAAGTCTTGATTTTGACCTTGTGGGTAACAACAACATCCATGAAAATGAAAATGCCGTCAATGATCCTCCGGAGACCACTGATAGCGTCCCGCTGCCCGCTGCAAACGACCAAGGACTGGTTGAAGCTAGGGCTATCATGGAGGAATCTGGGAGTCAAGTCTTCCAGGAAGCTCAACAAGTTGATCATATATTGGAACAACAAGCCAACAGAGAGAAAATAGAAAAGGAGTGCCAAAAAATTGGATTGACCATTGTTGTTTGTTCTCTTCTTGTTATTATTGCTATCAGTCTGGGAGTTGGACTAAGGACCAGGGCAGAAATCATCCAAACACTGTCACCCACTGTATATGGTTCTATGGAGCCTTCCAGAGTGCCATCCTCTGCACCCAGTGGGGTTCTGGACTTGCTATTGGATAATCTTCCCAGTCACACATTGGCTAGCATCAACAATGGAAGTGAAACTCCTCAGTGGAGAGCATGGAATTGGCTTGCAAACCATCAAAACATCACATTGCTACCAGAATGGAGAAAGGAGCAGTTGTTTGCTCTAGCAACATTCTATTATGCCTTTGAGGGAGAAAATTGGGACCCTCTAATAAAGGGGTTTGGGTGGATGGATGACACAGTGGAGGAGTGCAACTGGTTCTCAAGTGGCTTTGGAAGCTTCGTTGAAGGAAGCTTCTATGAATATCCTCCAGGGTATTTTGAACAGAAGTTTCCCTGCAACAGCCATGGTAAATTCACTTCTCTTAGGTTCGATGACCTACAGCTTTCTGGTTTGAAAGCTTTTATTCCACCAGAGATCTCCATGTTGACTCAGTTGGCCCACATTCAGTTGATCTACAATGAGATTGCAACAACATCAATGTCATCTTTGATTCCATCAGCATTGTATGAGATGACGGCGTTGACTGGGTTGATCATTTTCCATGAACAGATGACTGGCATACTTCCTTCTGAGCCCGGACAGCTTACTACTTTGAATACGTTGCAGTTGTTTGGAAATCAGTTATCAGGCCAGATTCCGTCAGAGCTTGGGCAGCTGACTGGTTTGACTGACTTGCAGTTCTGGGGAAACCAATTCACTGGACGAATTCCTTCCCATTTTGGGCTGCTGACGCAAATGCTGTACTTGGATTTGGCAGGCAATCAGTTATCAGGTCAAATTCCTTCGGAACTTGGAAAACTCACTGCTTTGAACATTATGTTTTTGGCTGCAAATGAGGTTGTTGGGCCCCTTCCATCAGAGCTTGGACAGCACACTGTATTGGAATTGTTATTATTGGATGAAAATGAGCTAGCTGGCCGGATCCCCTCAGAATTTGGACAGCTGATTGCTTTGACTGAGTTGTGGTTGTCCACAAATCAGTTGACCGGACCTGTTCCATCCGAGCTTGGACAACTCACCACCTTGGAATGGTTGCTTTTGAAGGAGAATCAAATAACCGGCCAGATTCCCTCTGACTTTGGACAGCTGATTGCTCTGACTCAGTTGCATTTGGATGGAAATCAATTGACTGGACCTGTGCCATCTGAGTTTGGCCTTTTGACAAATGTGGGTTCTTTGAATCTAACTGGCAACCTTGGCTTATCTGGCACAGTCCCAGAGGAGTTATGCTTCTTGCAGAATGTGTCTTGTACCTATGGGCCGGATTCTTGGTACCCTCCACCCTGCCATCTTGAGTTTGACTGTACCTCTATTTTTTGTGGATGTGACTGTGCCTGTTCAAATTCTTCTTTGACCAAAGGAGAAATATACACTTAAGATTGTGCGTGCTGAATGCTTTATGATGTAACAGGTTGGGAAGTAGTAGATGAATAGACTGAGTGGTTCTGGTCCTTGGCTTACCTGTATGGTTGCCACCGACTGTGGCAATCCGCTGGCTGATGCTGGATTCCAAGCTGTTTTCGACATCATAGACAGGCTCGATGCTTCGGAATAGTTGGCTAGGCTGCGTGGTTCGAGCCCGCAGTATGGCATTAGATTGCAAACAATAACTAGCATCATTTACTGTACGTGTGACTAGGGGTCTAGCTTTGCCAACGGTGAGTGTGGTTGTGGTGTCTGGCTGCTGCCATCTCAGCGATTGGGGCATCCTTCCGCGTAGTCTCACTCACCCTATTGCATTCTCCTCATGACTCTTGGCTTCCTCGCTCTATCAACCACCGAAACCACAACAAGCAATTCTGCTTCCAGTCAGCCACCGATGCATTGCCACACCGCTCCAGCACCATCAGCTTGACTCCATGCGAAGCTCAAGAAGTACCGTACCAGGTACTGGTACCGGTACTAGTACCGGTACCGGTACTGGTGCAGTGAGAGCCATATGAGCGGAAGAACGAATGTCCGACTCGACACACCTCCTTGACTGTTCCAAGGGAAACTATTCTTCAATCTACTACCGGTAGCTAGCGGTACGGTAGCGGTATGGTATCACTTGCAACCACATGCTGCATGCTCGAAAATACTCAGTTCCAAGCCACAGCTGGCTGGGTCAACACGAGATTCTCAGACTAAGTTTCAGAAAGGCAATTCCAACTCAACCGAAGAAAAGAGCGGTACAAGCGACCCTGACTCACAACGAGTCGTCGCTCGCCACTCTCCGTACTCTCTTGCTTGCAGGGCGCAGTACAAGTCATTACAATCTCTGTGTTTTGACATGTCAGGAACGACCATACCACGATGACAGCACCGCTTCCCGTCTGCTCAGCGAAGTTAAGCATCGTCGGGCCAGGTTAGTACTACGGTGGGGGACCACGTTGGAATCCCTGGTGTTGTTCTTTTGTTGTTGATACTTCGGAGGCTGCCGTGGATACTTCGGGGGCTGTCTCTTGGATGCCGCAGCAGCCAGAACGGACAGTCGAGGTCTTTGCTGCAGGATTGGTTGGCTGGGATACTACGGATTCGAAAAGAATTGACTCCAGGATGAGAACACCGGTTTTGTGCTTATGGGGAAACATTTTCATGACACAAAAATGGGGGCAGGACCTCTAAGTAAACTAGAGAAAAGGCACGAAGGAACAAGGAATTGTGCAGGATTCAATTTAATCACGAGCTCACCATTTTCATGTCACAGAAATTGATTTTTCGGCAGTAGTCTTTCTACTGAGGTCTACATGACACCAATTTCTGTGCTATGGCGGAGCAATTTCTGTGACACAGGGACAATTATTCTCGAATCCGTAGTATTTTGTGACGATTTGTGGCTCAGAACGCGCGGATGTCGGCATCGGCACTTCGGCACCTTCTTGGACCTTGGACCGTGCACAGAAGGGCATGCACGACAATCAACGACTGGGCCTGGTCAGTAAGATGCGGTAAAAAGCTCTTTCGATTTATGTATTACAGATTAAATGAGTTACCACATCTACCTTTACAAATACGCTGGGTCTTTATATTTGAGAGGTTCGCGAATGAACTTGTAAAAGCACACGGCGGCGGCTTTTGGCTCCAGCGTCCAACCGTCGGTCCAGTACCGGTACTGGACAGTTTCTGATGAGGTGCACAAAGTGCAAAGCATTCAATGGATCTCTCCTCATAAACTCCTTCAAAACAACATCCAACAAGCACTCCAACGAAACACAACACATGGCAACTCTAACTTTCCAAATAGACCAACCAACAGTCCAGGCTGGCGGTGTCCTATCCGGAAGCTTCGTCCTCAGAACGACCCAACAAATCGCGGCAAGCAGTGTAGAAATCTACTTTCGTGGCAAGGAATACACATATATCGAAAAAGGAAGTGGCAAAAACAAAAAGGAGCTTCGAAACAAGATCGAAGTCACCTATCATGATCTCGGAAGCCATCTTGCCACGCAAAGAATCGTCGGCGGTGGCTACATCAATCCAGGAGCATACGAATTCCCGTTCGAGATCATTCTTCAGGACAGTCTACCGCCCAGCATGTGGGTCTACTCAGACGACGATTACGCCAAGGTTGAGTATTGCCTCCGTGCCAAGTTCAAAGGCTCTGGAGTCTTTGCCGACTATGAAGCTCGTAGGGTCATTAACATGCTAGCAAAGCCGTCCCTTGAGCGGGCTGTTCCCCGCCTCGTGGACCCGTTTGTGCGCCGCGTCAACTACCTCGCGGCATGGGAAATGGGTGAGTTATGCATTGGTGCCCGGGTGCTGGATACAGAGCTTATGCCTGGTCAACCAGCAGAGGTGATTCTTGGCCTCCGAAATGACAGCGAAGCAAGCCCCCAGAAGGTCAAATTGAAACTGCAGGAAATTGTGAACTGGACGGTCGGCAGCGAGAAATCATCCAAAACCAGGACTCTTGCCAAAACAGAACTCGTACTCAAGAATCAGCAGAAGCCATTGGATAAGCAAACACGCCTTGAACTGAAGGCGAACAAGCACGAGCGACGGGAGCAAAACCAACGCGATATAATGAACGAATTGCAGGAGGCCAAGCCCACCGAGGCGTTGCGCCTCCCAATTCCACAGCTCACAACATCTGGGTTCAAAAGTGCGAATATTGAAGTATCCCATCAGCTTGTTGTCAAGGTAATGACAGAAAGCATGATCACAAACCCCGAATTTTATGTTCCGATCAGGATATTGGCTGGTGGCGCAACGCCAACAAGATCAGCCTCTCCCCCTGTGGCACAGGCAACAGCAGTGGTAGAAGAGAGCCTGCCTCTGGCGGATGCAGTGCCAATCCGTGATGAGTCGGTCAGGCAGTACCCCGACTTCGGTGTAGCTGCTGTCCCGATCCCCTCGAAGAAGGACTGATTGAATTGAATCGTCCAGCTTTTTATCATACGCATCTATTGTAAACTAGCAAGTCCATATTTCCAGATTTAAACTTCAGTTGGTGCCGAATGTTGTTGTATTGTCTACCACCACAGCCTCTGCTCTGCCTAGCTTAGCCCCCCTCGCTCCTTAATAACGTATCTATTTAGTATTTGCTTTTCACCATTGTCTTGGTCCTGGACTTTGTATCACGGGTAAATTCTGTGGGCCACCCGAGGGTTTTCAAGGCTGGCAAATCGTTCGTGCGGTTACTCTGATGGCTGATTGCTGTGTTACGGTGCGCGGGCGACATCCATGCAACAGGAAGCCCACGAGAAAAATCTGCTGCGCATCGCCAGCCCAATCCGATGAGTGAACAAATCATGTAGGCCTCTTCCCTTGATAACCCGCTTCAGTTTTGAGACCGTCAGCGTTTTCTTCCTTTGCCGTGACACACGCACACTCACAACACTTGAGTGGGCCTCCATTCGCAGTTCTGACTGATAGAGATCCTGTCTGCCTGTGGAATATACTATAGCAAATATGCCGGTAGGTTACCAGGTGAAACTGCTTCTCCTCCGGGATAGACACATGTCTGGTTTTCTGGATACCAACTGCATTTGGTAAACGCCTTTTTGGCTGTCAAATAATCTCGCCACTTGGAAAAGTCTCGGTAGTGGCGTGTCACATTGTCGTAAAGTTCCCGATCCAGCACACTTTGTTCTCGGAGTATCCTCAATGTCTCCTGGGAAAGATCTATAACTTTCAACTTTTCTCCGTGGTAGTCGTAGTACCCCACAGGTTGCACAATTCCCAAATCTCGCAGTTGCAATTTGGTCATGTAGGTCAAGAGCGGCAGCAGCTCTTGGGCAAAGGTGGCGGTATCAAAAATCCAATCAATTTCGTGGAGCACCAGTTGCAATAGTTGTCGCATGATAATAATGTTGTCATTGGGACAAACCCGGTTCACAAACCATTGGCATTGTAGATTCTCATTCTCCCGAGCGAATTTGACCAAGCTTTCTTGTGTGGGTGCTGCTTTCTGGGTTCGGACATGGTAGTAGTTGAAATAACTGACAAAATGGGAAACTGGTTCCCGTATTTGGGCCACAACCAAGAGGGGTATATTGTTGGCTTTGGATTTTGCACGCCATTTTTTCAGGCTGGGTATCAGTACATTGATAATATCCGGAAAGACATGGTCTTCCAGAATAAAGATGGTGCCATTGGCCGATTGCGCCTGCTGACTCAGCAAGGCATCGATTCGTAGTTTGGAGGCCTTCCAGGATGTCACAGTGTGGGTACCCCAATAGGCAATATTATTCTTGGCATTTTGGGGGTTAATTTGGTGGAGCTTGTCGCCATTTCGGACCTCATAGGCTTGGCTTTGGATAAGTTCTCGGACAGTGGAACCACCGGCTTTGGGATTGTGTAGAAATATAATGACTCCTCCTCTGTGACGGAAAGCCTGAACCAGTTCATCTATATTTACGGGGTCTGTGTTGAACGGGTTGCCAGCTGTTCTATCCAAACCAGGGTCATTTTGTGTGGGGTTGACAGTGCCATCTGCGCTCGAGCCATGTAATGGAGATGTAAGCATGTACATTTTTCCCGAGTACAGTTGCATGGCAACCACAAGGCAGGGGAGTAGGATCCACCATGGCCAAACGGTTGATGTTCGATCAAGAATACTAGTACTGAGTGTGGGATCGAAATGACGATTTTGCCAAATTGTTGCCGGCCTATACCGGAGAACTCTCCCAAAGCCCATCTGCATCTTCAACCTTTGGCTTCGGTAGCAAGGTAGGGATGTTCAGCAACTCAATACATACTACTAGCACTTGGAAACAAAAAAAGTGGGGAGATTGGTTTTTGAATGATCTTCGAGCCATTTTTGAGAGACGAGCCGAGCCGAGTCGAGTCGAGTCGAGTCTCAGTCGTCCAGTCCCTTGACACCAATATTGCAATGCTAAGCGAGCTCCAAGCCAACAGGGTGAAGTCTAAAGCGGCTAAGTAGGTAGATTGAGCTGTCAAATTTATGATGTAATAGTAAGAAGACGAACGGTAATCCCTGGGGTCTTGCTAGCTAGTTGCTTTTAAAAAAAAAAGAGCCAAGAGAAGTGTAGCTCTCTTGGGAAGCCCGGAATATTCTTGGTAGCACCTTTCAATCTACTGTACTGTTTGTTGGTCTCAAGCCTCACAATTTGTCATTGCCAAGATCCTTGCCTCCTTCTATCTCTAGAGATTCAGCATGTTCCATCAACAGTTGAAATGTGAGAGCTCATGAGTGCTGACGAGTGGAGTCTTTGCATTCATTGGCTACGTTTTGTACATCAAACCCCTTATAGAGGAAAAGCGGCTATGATGGCATATATACATCCACAAGTGCAGTTAAAACATCATGGCAATCCACAAACAATTGAGTTCCATTGGTAGCGATCAGATCTCAAACCTCTGGTGGTACAGACCCCATAAGATCATTGCCGAACAAATCAGCTAGGAATGGCCCAGTACAGCCGGTTGTATGGAACTCAAGATTAGTCAGGAGGCAAAGTTGAGTTGGGGTTGCGCCCGAGATATCCGTGGCGGACAGGTCTAAAGAGAATTTTGGGGTTGTATCAATTGGAAAATGTGAGAATTCAGTAGTCTTTACACGGCTATGTTTTGTACATCGCACCCCTTAGAGAGGCAGGCGGCTATCGGCGGCATATACATCCGCAAGTGCAGTTGACACCAAGGCAATCCACAAACAACTGAATTCCGTTGGTGGTGATCAGATCACAAACCTCTGGTGGCACAGACCCAGTGAGATCATTGCCAAACAATTCAATTGAATAGATATTGGTCAGAAGTCCAAGTTCACTAGGAATGGATCCGTAGAGCCAGTTGAAAGCAAAAGATAAACTTTCTAGATTCGTCAGTTGGCCAAGAGACGAAGGGATTGTGCCAGAAATATCCGTGGCGGATAGGTCTAGGTCGACCAAATTCGTCAAGTCACCCACCGAAGAGGGCAGGAATCCCGGTAAGGTGTTGAAGGACAAGAACATGTATTTCAGCGACCTCAAGTATCCAAGCTCGGGAACCAGGGAGCCGTAGAGTAGATTGTCGGTAAGATCCAGCGTTTCCAGCTGGCCATCATCAGAGCAGGGCATGGTGGTACTGTTGGAGTACCAATCACATTCTCCCACCCGATAGCTGAGCCAATCATCCTCTCGAAACCATTTGTTCCCATCGCTATTGGTTGCAAAGTACAAGGTTGCCATAGCATATCGTTGCATCAATTCGGTGGATGAATACGTTGTGTTTGTGGGATCGGATTGGGCCCATGCCCTGGCTCGTTCTTGTGGCGTCGGTCCCGTTTCATTGCTACCGGTACGATCCTCTGGTGCATCGCCATGAAAGTATCTCCCCGAAGCACTAAACTGACGGCTGATGTCAATGTTTGTTGTGGTAGTGAGGTCATTGTCGAGAATGACATCGGGTTCTGTTTCGTTTTTGCTGGTATCGTCCAGTGTATTGTTGCTGGGATAGTCCTTTGTAAAGTTGAAGTCTTGTCCCACGGACAGCGTTGGAGCAAAATCCAGACAGGTATCTTCAAAAAAGATGCGTTGACACCCACGGGTGGCTGCCAAGGGATGATTGTCGGTGCAGTCGATATCCAGCATCAAGCCACCGTCGCAGATAGTGCAGCTGCATTCGGTCGATCCCATGGTGACTCGTTCACACGTGTCATACTTCATGTCTTGTAACTCGGCCTGGACACATACCCGTTCAAATTCAGCTTCTTGAAATTCTTGACATATGTCCACAGTGGATGTAGTCCGGCCCAAGTCAAAGACAATATCTAGAGTTGGCAAGGTTTTGTTGTTGCACGTGACGGAGTGATAGTTGCAGGTCAGGCTCTGTTCAACGAAATTGCACGAACAATCGCGATTTTCACTGCGTGGTGCAACCGCATCGAAGAGCTCAATCACCAGGCTACAAATTTGTCGGAATTGAAGCGAGCGATGAGGACCTCTAGTTTGATGGTGTTCATGACTTTGTTGATGGTTCTGTTTGACCAGCGCAACTTGCTCGTTCAAGAAAGCGAGATCAGACCAGACAGTGTTGGGGACAGAGACATCTCTGGCAAGAACAGATTCAGGGAAGACTATCACCCATAGAAGGGCGAATGTCGAGAGCTTCATCTTGGTCAGAGGACGGAGAATGAGCAAGGTCCAGTTTGTCTTCCGTCTGAAGTTGTGATTTCCGCGCAAATTGTGATCGCCGAATTGAAGTTTTTCTCGACCTGCGTAATCGTGACTCATGCCTCATGACTGATCATGCCAAAGTGTATTTTTTTCACACCGAGCTTTCCCGTAGTCTACGTGCGTGCCTTATCACGAAGCATACCAGTAGCACGTAGCTTATGCTTTCGGTTCCGTACCAGTACGTACAGGAAAAGTGGGACATGCATTGACTCTAGAGCTTGCTAGCTACAGCCGTAGCAAAGACAGAGTGCCTCTTCGAATCCAAGGCTTCTAGCTAGTTGTTACGCACCCTCCTCCACTGCTGGAGGTCCTGCAAGAACGACTTTGTTCCAATCATACTCTGGGTCAATAGCTTCAAGGAGAAGTTGAATGTCCAAGCCATCATCTTTCTTGAGCCTATACAATTCCTGGTACCACAAATATATGGATGATTGTGGCTGTTTGGGCATATGAACCCATAGATCCGCTGGCACGTCAATCTTCCAGACTTTTCGTTTCCCCGAAAAGTGCTCAAAATCCGAGTATGGAGTAACACATCCTGGATATGGAGTGTCCTTGTCCGCTGCGTTGGCTCCGGTCCATTTTTTGCAGAACCATGGAAAGAAGCGGTAGTGGACTTTGGAGAAATTTTTGAGAGGACTCATTCCTCGTGATGTCACTGGGATCACTTGTTCTTCAATGGTGGATCCATCGGGGCCACGCCCAAAATGGATAATTTTCCGAGACAGGATTTGTGTGACATTTTGCATCACGTATTTTGTCATGTGGTAATGGAGTCCTTGGTCCGACCAGGAATGCAACTGCATATTATTGTGTGTAAAAGAGACGTCAGTAATGTGTAGAACATGCAACCAAAGTGCATTGAGCTGAACTAAATAAATGAAATGACTTACAAATTCCCACCGGTCGCCTTGTTTCAAATTGTCTTCCCAGTGATCTCCATCCAGAAAGGGGTGTCCCCAGCCATTCACCATGTCAAATTTCTTTTCGTAGCCCGCTGTTTCCCAGTTGGATCGAATAATGTGCTGCACTTGATTGTATGCCTCTTTACTGGGTTCCACAACAAAGAAACCAGTATTGCAAGGCTCCATGATGCCTGCTAGTATCACATTTGGTTTGAGAATGGCATTGGGTCCATCGGTGAGTTCAAACATGTAATCCAAATTGGTCAACGGCAGGAGATCCCCATCCAGAAAGATAATTCGTCGGTATTCGGTCATGCCAAAGGTGTAAAACTTGTGAAAGAAGGAACTGCCCCTTCGCGTGTTGAAATCGGGTGTTTCCTGGGGCAAATAGCGAATGGAAATATTCATGGAGCGCAGCAGTTCTTCATCATACAATGGGAGGGTCATATCAATCACATTGGTATCCATGCGAAACACGGCAATCATATCGGCTGTGGAACCATGGGCGCGTAGTAGTTTGGCCGAGATCAACATATTGGCAAGATAGGGCCTCCAGCCGAGCGCTTTTGCATTGATGGGACTGATGCCCCACATCATAAAGACATAGGCATAGGGTGATGATGTGGTTCTTTCGTAGGTTGCCAACATGGCATGATAGTCGACAGGCACGTCCTTTATCGATTCTGTTGGTGTTGTTGTTGTTTTCTTTGCTGAATATTTTTGTTGTGTGGATTGTGGTGTCTTTTGTTCCGGACGTGATTCTGGTTGGCTGTGTCGGCTCTTGAGATCTTCTTTTAGCGCATTCATTTCTTTGTCATGTTGCTCTTGCATGGAGAGTACGGATTGTTGCAATTTGGCCAGCTTTGCCTCCCAGTCTTCCAGAGAACGTTTTGATTGGTCCTCGATTTTTGCCATTTTCCCATGGAGTTGGTCCAGGCTCTCCTTGTGGTCGTCATGTGGCTGATTTTCTATGCTGGGATCTTTATTAATTGGATTGAAGACCGAAGTGACCTGTGTACTCTGAAATAATGTGCCCAACAGGAAACACAGCACACATAGAAGGGCTATTCTTACAGTACTGTTTCCTGTTCCATCGTTCCTTTTGGTGCGAGGAGGGGTAGAGCTTGTGTTGATCATTTTGGTGCAGCATCCACTAGATATTCTTGGACGAAGGCGAGGATTTGATTGAAAGGGGAAAGTAAGTGTTCTCGATTGCGGTCACAGATCTTTCGTGAAGTTGAAGACTTTCACGCCCCGCAAACAAATTGGCCAACTTTGCTGGCTAAAATGAGTGACCACGCTAGCACGATACCACGATCAAAACACAAGGCAAAAGCCTGGCTGGGGAAGTGCGGAGGTCACAACAACAACAAACAACACGGGAGGTACAGTAACAATTGCCACAGCGGCTGAGCCATATTCCAAGAAGCAAGCCCTCAATGATGAAGAACACGGAGAGTCGAGATGCTTCTGTTGAACAACCACAAGCCAGCAACCACTCCTACGATACTACCCTGGGAAATATTGGTGAGAAGAATGGAGGGAAAGAAAAGAAAGAGATGGAGTCAGTGATTGGAAATCAGCGTCCAACTACATTTCCCACCAGTCTTGATTCCAAATTCTCCTCACTTAGTGAGGCCCTTGATGATATTATCAGTAGTAGCATCCAGGCATTACCAATGTCATCCCCACCAGCACTGCATCAAGATGACAGACCTGGGGCTCATGCGGTGGCGGGGATTAGACCAATATTTTATCGCCCAAGAAGTAGGCCATTGGCTGGAATGGACATGGAAGGGTTGAGATTGGAATTGGTGCCTACATCTCAAAATGACAGAGACCACGACAGTGGTCTTATTCATGCTGATCCAGTTGATGACTCAGAAAATGGGACGATTCCCATAGCAGAGCCAATGACAACAAGGGCAAAAAGATTATGGAAGAAGAAACTAGTCTTATTCCTTTCCCTGGAAACAATATGTGCCCAAGTTCTTGTTGCAATTTTTATTGTGGCATTCCTTCTTGCTCCGAAATCGAGTCATCAAACACAGTCCGCAATGCAGCAAAATGGAGTGATTCCAATACAAGAAAATCCAGGGACGGTAGCTCCAAACACACAAGCAACAACATCACTATGGGAAAGACTAAACCTACCTGAATACACCCTCAGGGCAATGGAAAATCCTAGGTCGCCCCAGACCAAGGCATATCAATGGCTAAGCAACAATATCAACAACTCAAACAATACACAACATCTCCCGGTATGGAGACTGCAGCAAAGGTTTGCACTGGCCACATTTTATTATTCAACACGGGGGGACTATTGGGTAAAAAATCAAGGCTGGCTGGATTGGGACACCAATGAGTGCAACTGGGAACAACTTCCTGGGCATTATTGGGACCCAAATCCAGCACCTTATTGTGATGACAACGGGCAACTACTTTCATTGCAATTTATGCTTGCCAACAAATTGGATGGAACAATGCCGCCAGAGATATCCCTGCTTCAAAAGAGCTTGGAAAGACTTAGATTTTCTTGGAACTACCAACTAAAAGGAAATATACCAACAGAGGTTGGGCTGATGACAAAGTTGACATCCTTGTTTCTCGGCACAACACATTTGTCTGGCAGGCTTGTAACAGAACTCGGTCAGCTACACAGCTTGGAGACACTAGGGATCGCAGGTAGCAAGCTTGTTGGAACTTTACCTACTGAGCTGGGCACCCTAAGCAACCTCACAATGTTGCTAGCTGATGGAGTGAACCTTTCTGGTATGCAATGGAGTGGACAATTTCAGTGCAGAAGTTCCACATTATGACGTTTGACTGACTCACGTGATATTTCTGCCTACACAGGGTCAATCCCCACTGAGATTCTTCGATTGTCAAACCTGAAGAGCATGGGTTTCTCAGGGTGCCCTCTGTTGGATATAACATCTTTCGTCCCTGAGGTGGTTGGAAAAATGCATAATTTGGAGATGCTTTTTCTAGATCTAGGGAAACCTGGGAGGTTGGCATCAATTCCATGTAAGTGCCAACAGTTCCATACTTTTTTTTTGCCTGCTGGCAGCTCAAAACTATTTTTGACATATGTGTTTTGAACAGCTGAAGTTGGCAAGCTGACCAACCTGGCAACCCTGAGTTTGAACGGCTTCCAACTTAATGCCCCCCTGCCAAGTGAGCTTGCACTGTTGACAAATTTAGTAAGTATCATGAATAAGCCTTGTGTGGTAAACATCCCTTTTGCGCTAAGAGAGTTGCACCATTTTTTGCAGGCCTACTTGACCTTGCAGGGGAACTCAATCTCAGGAACTTTGCCAGAAGAGTTATCAAAGATGTCACGTGAGTGCTAGAAACCTCTTCTGTAGCTTCAGAGGCCATCTTTGCTCAATTTTTATTCTCATTTGTTTTGACATCAGAATTAGAGTTCTTCAACATCCAATCCAACAAGTTGGAGGGAAAAATCCTGGAACAAGGTGTCCTCCACCAACTCAACAAGTTGTGGCTTTTGAAAATAAGTGACAACCTACTCTCGGGCTCTCTTCCCACAGAAGTTGGTTTGTGGTCTCGCCTTGTGAACCTTGAACTACAAAACACAAGAATATCCGGCACCCTTCCCACGGAACTGCTTTTGTTGGACAACTTGACCAGCCTGGTAGTCATGAACACATCCCTTACAGGCAGCATCCCTCATGGACTGTGCGAAAAAGTGCTCCTCCCACAGGAAAATCGTTGTTTTGGGGGCAGTTGCTATGGAGTGGCACCAACTAATCTGTCAGTGTGTCATGGAGCTCAACTGTGTGGGTGCAGTTGCACTCCTTGCCCAATTACCTAGCTAGAACATAATCTGGGAGGAGTGATGATCTGCTGTACAAGCGGAGCAACCAGTGGCTGGCAACATTCTCTCCCGTCCACGTCACGCCTCTGTCCGACTTCATAGTCTAATGGCGACTATACTGAAGGCATGATGTTCTCTTCTTTGTATTGGGACAATGCAAAAGACAATGAGCTGATCGTCCAAGCGAAAGTGAAGACGTGTCTCGAATGTGGGGCCATAAACCTCCTCAGAGCTTCCTGATTGCTTGGGTAAGAGGCTGCCAAGACGGCAAGATCTTCCTGCAAGCATTCATCGAGTACGAGAAACTGCACGAGTCGTTGGAGTCTCGGTTGACCTTCATATATGGTGCTGATGAAGAGCAACCTGAAGATCAAAAACTGGCTGTACCCGACCCAAAGGAGCCTCCTCTGAAGAAGCAACCCTATCATGTCGACCCCAGCACCCCCGTCATCAGCGCTACCGGTACCCCCGCTAGCCTACCTACGAAAAAGTGATGGAAGGCTTGAAGCTTCAGCTGGCTTTGGACAGCGTCTTTCAACTCTGTAAAAATAAAGGCGACGACCTCACGGTGGCAAAGATTCGGTGTAGGCCCAAGGGTGCAATGCTCGCACCAAGGAAGACCTCAAGTACCAGTACAAAAGACTGACCTCGGGAAGCTCGAGGTTCATCAATACATTGCTTGTAGCCAACGCCTTGAAGAGAACGCGGGCTATCACATGTAGAAACTGTGGTGGGCTTTGTTCCTCAGTGGCATCACTCTCCCCGTTCCACCGCTGAAGGAAAACTCCACGACAAGCGGTGCCATCATGGTTGCTTACTCCTCCGACGACTGTGCCGAAACCTTGGAGTTGACATCCGACATTCATGGTCCAGTCAAGCCTGCTTCACCGTATGCTCCTACCAAAAGTTCTAGCCTTCCCGTGAATTGAGACTTGTGCAGCCTCAAGCGTGTCGTCGTCTTCCCGTGACTTTCAAGCCACGTTGTTAGTTACTCGGAGGGCGAAGCAGCGAAGTTTAGTCGTCCGCCTTCAGCCCACGTCGCTTCCTTAGTGTTGGGCGGTCTACAAACCATCCGTCAATATCATTCAATTGAAGGAAAGCGCTAGTTCCGCACTGTCGCCCAAGGTTCACTACGTGACGAGATTCGAGCAAGCACTCTGCACTACAGTAGACTAGTTATTAGAATTCCGATTCCAGCTCTGCAGCAAAATCGTCGTAGTCTTCGTCGTCATCATCCTCATCATTTGCCACGCCCCCTTCATCCCTATTGGCTGGTGCTGGTGCCGCTGCTACAGATCTAGCCGTGTCCACGTCAATGCCCGGCGGAGGGCGTTCCGCATTCCGTTCTCGGCCTCCAAAAGCCATCAAATGCTTGATTGGATTGCGGTAAGAGATACTGCGATAGCACTCGTCAAGCCAAGAAAGTTTCACAACCAAACATCCTGGAGTTCTTCTGGCCGTAAGAACCTTATCCGTGTCATCCCTAGTGGCAATGACAAATGATGTCCCTGGCTGCACAGTTTTTAAGAGCTTTCATGCAGCGAAAAGCAAGGGGAAAGGTTAGTTGGGAAGGTTTCAAACACACATTCCTTGTGCCATACGGTACGAAACTTACTGTACCCCCCAAACTCTCGACGAAACGAATCTCAAGCTGTCTCGGCCCTCTCGACTTGCTCTCTGTATTATTCCATGGCACAATGCCACTCAAAACAACCTTCTTGCCCTTGAGAACATTTTCGCGCATTTCACGAAGAAGCTCCGGTACCGGTTTCAAGTTTCCGTCGTCGGACTGCTCGTAGTACCGTTTGTGGAGTCTGTTCAAAATGTCGGCTGTCCAAATCAGCTGCACATCGTCTTTTTCGTCTTTGCCATTTTTCGACGACTCCTTCTTGGCTAGATCTACACCAGCCGCATTGTTGACATCTGCAAACCCCTCAAACGGTTGCCACTTGTAGGGTTTTACATACAGCACGTTCTGCGGGGGTTCGCCGGGTCGGCTGCTGGAACGGCTGTTGGGGTCATTGTTGTTGTCTTTGGCATTGGCCCAGACGTCTTCTCTGTCGTCCACGACCGCTGCCATGGTGCCTCCACTAGGATCAATTCTCCGTAAACTCTTGACGTGTTGTCCCAAGTCCCCCACATCGGTCCGCGTCACAATCCGACCCCCAAAGATGCGCTGTCGCATCTTCCAAGCTTCTTTTTCCAATCTCTCTGCTTCTTCCAGTTCGTCTTTTAAGCTTTGCACCTCCTCGGCAGTAATGGGTGGTGGCGGCGCATCATCCCCCTTTTTGTTGTCGCTTGGCTTTGGCGCCGGCTTGACTCCTGCCGAGAACGTCACCTTGCGTTTCTTTGGTGCTGGTTCTTCGTCTTCGTCCTTGTCTTCGGAATCGGGCGCGCTACGCTTCTTTGCTTCTGAGGATTCCTCTTCTTCCTCCGATTTTGTTTCGGATTTTGTGGATTGTTTTTGTTCGTCAACGTCAGTCTTTGACTCTGTCGTCTCCTCTGATTTTTTGTTGTCGTTATTGTTGTTATTTTGTTGTTGATTCCATCTGTATTCTGCCTGTGCCACTTTGAATCTCAAGTGATCCAATTCCCCTTGATCCCTCTGTGCCCCTACCATGTGTCGCGCCAGCACAATGGCAATTTGTTCGGCATATTCCTTGACCCCGGCCGTATAAATGCCAATTTCGTACTGTTCCATGACCGATTGAAAGAATTCCTTGACGTTCGGTCGTAACTTGACGTAATGTTGTACTTTGTTATTTGCATTGCGTGGATCTCCTTCGGCCAAGAGGAGAATTCGGACATCCGTGCGTCCGCCAATGCGATGCGTCGCACGGGGATCTTTGGTGGTGTGGAGCAATGTGGCATCGAGATCTAAAATCAACGAGAGTTTTTTCAATTGTCGCAGTCGTTCGGTATTTTGTTTTCCCATTTGCACACTTTCTTGTTTGGAGACGGTAAATGTCAAGCCACCCGAAACGGTGACGCGGGTGTTGGTATTCTTTGCAGGGTCCAGTGGAGAAGAGGAGGAGGATTCTGACGCTTTTCGGGGTTGTCCACACATGACACACATTCCTCCGACTACAGCGGGATGCCAACAGGGATCAATGGTGCCAATACAGCGGCTTTTGGGGTCTGATTTGGCGTTGTCACCAATTCTCAAAATGCCCGTCGCAGCGGCACAAATAGGAACCAATTCCGCGTCTTTCTTTTTGGAATCTTCCTTCTTTTTTGACACGTCTGTTTCCCCCTTTTCTTTGACTTCCTCTTTCTTGTTGTTGCCATCCGACATTGGTGAAGATGATGGGAGCTTGATGCTCTTGAGCGCCTCGTTGTTCGCAGCTGGAGGTTTGGTTACAGCAGCTGCTGCTGGAGAAGGACGCTTGCGACGATTGGGACGCTTGTGTTTTACGGCGACAGCAGCCGTCGTCTCTTGGTTGCTGCTACTGCTACTCTTGTCGGTGCACAGCCGCGCCATGGCCACGGTTTCCCCTTGACGCACCAAATTTCCATTGTCGGCCACCCAACTGGCGACAACATAGTCACCCACTTTTGTCGGCTTTTCGGGCAGCAAGACAGGAGTACTACTCTCTTGTTGCACAACATCTTCTCCGTCGTCTCCTGCGTCGTCGTTGCTGCTGCTGCTCATGGTATTTCTGGTTACAACTAGTCTATGTGGACTACTATATGAATATGAACGTCCACTAATAAACTATGACAGATCTGTTCAGTGGGAATGGACTTCTTGGAGTTGGGTTCCCAAACGCGGTGCAAATTTATTGCTCAACTTCCAGGCTTCTCCGGTTGGACGAAGCACGGCTGGTTTCTTGTAATTTTAAAATGAAATCAAAACGTCAAATTGACAAACCGAAATGCAAAAATGCCCAAAACTCTAATAACGTAGCCCTAAAACTCGTTTCTTCTTGGTCGGTACTGTACGTCAGGTGGTGTCACTACCCGCACCATCGACGAGCCGCTCTCCTCAATCAATGTGCGATGGACGAGGATCATAATATCTCATGGACATTTATTTCTCATTACGAGTGTACTGTTGTCTACTGATCCCAACAAACAACAACCTCAAGGCTGTCATGAATTCTTCCAGAGAGATGAGGATGGCAACATCGTTATCTCGACAATGCTCCATTGCGTCCTTGGTTCTGCTGCTACTGCTGTTGCTACCCAGCAACACTTGGTCTTTGGCATCCATTGCAAAGAAGCCCACTACTACTACTGCCACTACCACTACTACAGAATCTTTGTTGTGGACGCCCGCCAATAATAATAATAAGGAATTGGAACAACTGGAATGGAAATTACTCCGCCAAGTACGTCAAGTGGCCAAAGACTACGAAATGCTGCAAGATGGCGATCACATTATGGTCTGTGTTTCGGGAGGCAAAGATTCGGCATCGCTGTTGGTATTGTTGATGAAACTGCAACAACACCTACAGACAAAATTTCGATTGACGGCCGTTCACGTCGATCAAAAACAACCCGGCTATAATGGAACGTCGCTGGTAGAATGGTTGCGGGATGATTTAAAGGTGGATGATTATCGAATTGTGGAAGAAGATACCTATTCCATTGTCGTCAATAAAACACAAGCCGACAAATCGTTCTGCACACTCTGTTCGCGATTGCGGCGCGGGATTCTCTATTCGACCGCACTCGAACTGGGATGCAACAAAATTGCACTGGGGCATCATGCCGATGATGCCCTCGAAACGTTGTTTTTAAATATGCTACATGCCGGACAAATCAAGGCCATGCCGGCACGGTACACATCCACGCGGGGATCCTTGGCGGTATTGCGACCCTTGATTTCCTCCTTTGAAACTGATTTGCAGACCTATGCGACCCAACAACAATTTCCGATATTACCCTGTAACCTCTGCTCGAATCAAGCCGATTTGCAACGACCGCAAATCAAATTGTTATTGGCCACGTTGGAATCGTCGTTTCGCAATCCGCAAGCCAAACAGAATTTAGTACGATCGCTGGGCAATATTCGACCCAGTCACATGTTGGATCAATCGTTGCGACAAGCGGTAGGAATGGATCCCATTACCGGGGAAGAAGAAGAGGAAGGGGGAGAACAACAGGCTGTGTGAAAAAAAGAGGCAAGCAAAATGAATCACATGGACGTGACAAAGATGACAGTTTTGTGCTGAGGGAGCATTCATCAATCGTTGAATCAAATCATTGTAACCAAACCAGGCAAGCGCTGAATGAAATGGCTACTTGTTCAACTGCTGGTAACAATTCCTTACGGTTTTGTTTCGAGATGACGTACGGATTGTGGAGAACGAGAAGAAAGGGGGTGGGCAATGCTGTCTTACGGTGCTACTGTACTAAAGAGCAACACTCTGGCTCGAAAATGTCTCTGGTGGGAATGAACTCAGTTACTTAGGCAGGCCGGAGACCGATGGGGCACAGACGGCCCTAAGTAGCAGGTTCGTTTATAAGGGAACGATAACGGCTGGTTTTGTATTTAACGGTCGGTCTGTGTAGAACTCTGTACAAACCTACTACTGTACCACTTCCCACATACAAAACCTGCCGGTTCGTTCTTAATAAAACTGGCACCACCACCACAGCACAGTAAAATTGTGTGCCTCGTTTCAATTGAAAAGTGAACAGATCTATTCCAGTGTAGTAAATCCACCTTGCTACTGAACCAATGGATTCTTCAATAATTGCTTCTTCCAATGGATTGAATCGAAGCATTCTGTTTCTCTGGCTAGCGCGACCGTTTCGGGATGTACGCTCAGTTCTTCTAGCTAGTTCAACTCCCCCCCTTGCATTCCAGTTCTGCAAGTTGAGTGACACGTTCTTTGCACCATGCTCACCAAGGTGCCGGTACCCACCTACAGTTGGTTGTGTTGCTAATAGAACACCATGCCTCCTGTTTGCTTTCGTGCAACGAGCAAACTATAGCTCCTCTACTGTGCAGCTCCAGAGAGTCGAGTCAACCCAACAGTTGTTGGGTTCTGCTACATACATGCATGGTTACTTCCTTCAGCACCCCCTTGTGGCCCCCTCTGCCAGGGCTTCCACCCCCCGTACCGGTATTTATTGGCACCTCGGAGATCCTGTTTGGATCTTCGCCTCTGAAAAAAGATATCTGATGATTGACAACCGTAAAGAAGCGCCCATCAAAGCCAACCGAGTGGGTGCTGTACGATAGGTTAGCTGAGAAGGCTGCAGTTGCCTCTTCTTGGTCTCTTGTGTCTCAGCGAGGCTCTTCGGTTCCAACTACTCTGAGCAGCTACGGTAGCTAGAAACGCCTCTTTTCCTCATTTTGGCTACGACCAAGTACTGGTAGTAGCGAGCCACAAGCCGGCAACCTACATCAAGATGGCCGCAGAACCGGAAATGGACGGGGCAATGCCAGCAGATGAGGCTGACTCCAAACCAGCAGAGGAAGCTGACTCGGAGCCCCAATCATCCGAGGAGCCGAAAGAACCCAGCCCTCATCAGCAACCACCGACCGAGACAGAGTCACCCGAAGCCGAGCCGACAGAGAAAGAGGCTCCAGCGCAACCATCGACAGAGTCGGCGGAACCAAAGCCGCCCGAGGTGACAGAAACTTCAAATGAAAAAGATGATGTCGATCCACCTACAGAAAATGCCGATACTCCAAAGGATTCTCAACCCTCCGAGACAGCCAAGGAAGAGGCAGTCCCAGAGCCTTCTTCGGAAAAAGAGCAAGAGCAACACCAGCAGGAAGTAGCAGCAGCAGCAGCCAAATCAGAACCTCCGCAACCGGAAGAAAAAGAGGAAATCTCATCAGCTAGTCGGGCAAACATCACACCGCCGGTGCGAACAGGCATTATGAAAGCAGCTATTGCCACTGGAATCAAAGACTTTGATGAATACATTCATGTTCATGAATTTTGGCCCCAACCAACACTGGCAACTGCCAAAGATGGCAAGACGGGAAAGCCAGTGTTGCAACTATTGGAAGAAAAGCACATGATTGTCAAGGTACTGGCATGTGGCGTGGCACCTGGGGACTGCCGGTTGTTCAAGGGGAAAACTGACTTGATGCAACTTCCAATGTCAGGGCGTCCCTATGTTATTGGGAGTGACATCTGCGGCATTGTGACAGAAGTTGGCGAGGATGAAAGCTACTACAAAGTGGGCGACAAGATTATTGCCCGCTTTGATGAACCACAAGCCTATGGCATGTGTGCCGAATATGCTTGTGTCAAGACACATTTGAGTGAAAAGTGTCCGGCATCCATCCCTGCCACAGAGGCATGTACACTGGCATCTTCGGCTTCTGCGGCCAAACTGGTGGCAGAAAAGTTCATTCAAAAGGATAGTCGTGTTTTGCTTCTTGGAGGGTCGGGTGGTTTGGGAACCTTTATGTGCCAGTACATAAAGAAATAAGGTGCCAGTTTCTTGGCTGCCACCACAACTCAGTCAGAATTGGTAAAGTCTTTGGGAGTGGACCGTGTCATTGATTATCGAGTAGAGAACTGGTGGGAATTGGAGAAAGAATTTGGAGAGAATCCATTTGATGTAGTGGTGGATTTGGTGAATGGCCAGAATTGGCAAAAAGGAGCTTGTTCTGGAACAACCGTGTTGAAATCCAAGTTGCCCTATGTTCAGCTGTTGTCGGGAGTGGAAACAGAGATTGACATGGGAATGGGCTACATTTCCATGGTACCCTTTGTGTTTACTATTCTAGGACGATCACTCTATGCCAAGCTGCACTGGTCATGTCCGACCTGGGAGGTGCCTCAAGGGTTGGAACTGAAACCAGGTCATCTCAAGGCTCTGTTAGAGGATATTGCCGAAAAGAGAATCCGTGTTGTCTTGGACCCAGCAAGTCCATTTGAGTTTACAACCGAAGGTGTCCGGGCAGCTATGAAACTTCAGAACTCCATTCATGCCCATGGGAAGGTTGTGATTGAAATTGCCAAGGAAGAGTCATCTGATTAGTTGCAATGTGCTGTTGCGACGCCTACATACATACGGTACAAGTAATTTGTAGCCTCTTTTGCTTACTTCATCTTTCACTAGCTAGTAATGTACATGACCCTTGTTTTGATGGCAACCACTTTTCGTTGGCAGGTTTTCCTTGTGTCACTGTATTTCGATGTGCCGCCCAATCTCCCGTCTACTATGGGCGGACAAGTAAGTCTAGATACATGATACCGGTATCAATTGTACCGTACTGGAGGCAGAGCACCCATGCATCATGAATTCAATTGCTAGCTAGATGGCAAGAAAGAAACGGAGCCTTTGCCATAATATTCTGAACGTGCAAGCCACAACTACTCCATTTCCGTGCGAAGTACAGTGCTTCATGCCAAGGGCACGGGAGACGCTTCAACTATTAATACGTACCGATACCAATCGACACGATCGCTAGTAGGTACATCTACCGTATCTTGAAGGCAGGTTCCATGCGAGGCACAAGAAGCTAGTCTATCTGAAACGAATAAGGACAGGATCGTATCTAAGCCAAGCAAGCAATGATAATACAAATAGATTCCCTAGAGTACTATAAATTTCCTAATCAATCGCAAAGATTCGAACGTAACGTACGTATATTTGTTTTTGTGTTTTTCTGATGAAGGAATTGGAAGATGGATGGATAGATATTCAGAAAGAAAGAACGCAAATCATCTAATCTACGGCGACCAAGTGGTTCGTCTCATGACTGGCACATTTGCTGGAACAGATGGCTGTGCATCGTCATCATCCTCCATTTCAACGGCGGAACATCGTGTAGCATAAATCATATCGTCCGTGACCAATCCCAAAGAGGCTGCCGTATCGGTCGACTTTACCATTTTGGATCCAAAAAAGAAACAAAAGTCTTGTTGTTGCTGCTGCTGATTGTTATTATTGGCATTGGCCGTGGCATCATTCCAATAGAGCGTGTATCGATCAAAGACGCGTTGCATCTTGGTATCGGGTCGAATTTTGAAATAGAGGTCGGAACTGCGATGGGGATCGGGATTTTGACCCCATCGAACAAATATAGTCAATGGTTGACGCGCCGGACTACTGCTGGCGGCTGGTTTGGAATCGACGCGACGGCGTTTGCGGGGTGGCGCGTCCGAGTCCGTATTGCTGCTGCTGCTACTAGTACTGTCGTCATCATCATCGCTGTGGTTGTAGTCGTCTTGCGGTTTGCGTTTCTTCTTGTTGTTTGTTGTTGTGGCGCTCGTAGGAATGGACCAAATGTCGTCATCGAGTGTATAGTGATTGGCGACTATTTTTCGGGTGGCATGCAAGGATGCGAGTATCTCTATTTTCGCCTGACTCGTCGCGCGACCCGATAGTTGTTCCGGATTGTAATGAAGGACTTTGCGAAAGAACGTGCGACACCAACTCTGATAGCTGCTCGTGTCGAGAACGTGTTGTTGCCATACCGAATCAATCACGGGTGGAGGTACCAACCCTGGATGGAGTTTCTGGACTTGCAAGAATCGAGTGTACGCCGCCACGGCCCGTTTGGCAAACGATTTGCTCCATCCGTAGACGCGGACACAGCGAGGTAGTAACGTACTGGGGAGTGGAAACAAGGGTTCATCATTGCTTGCCAACGGAGGTGGTTTCTTGAGATTGGTTGCAGCTGCTGGCTTTTTGGTGCGGCATCGAGTGGCTTCCAACAACATTTGTTCCGCGTCTTTGCGTTGTGCTGGTCTCGTTGTCGTTGTGGTCGTCATCTTGATGGATTTCTTCTTACTCTCCATAGTCTTCTTCTTCTTGTCGTTGTTGTTCTTCACGTCTTTGTTGCTGTTATTGTGGTCCGTCTCGGATGTAGAAGTCTCGCTGTTGTTATTACTAGCGGTACTATTGGCGGAAGCTCGTGTGGAAACCATCGTGGAAGATATGATGGATGGAATTCGATAAAAGCAATCCGGATCTATCGGACAAGCACTATCTAATAATGACTAAACCGAGCTGACAAGCTAGACCAGCTAGCAACCACTGTGAGTGAATGAATAATAACAAGCAAGTAGTCTAATCGAGTTGGAGATGAGAGAGGACTGGTGGCACTCCGAATGGATGGATGGATGGATGCAGGTGGTGGGTTTGGTTGTGTGTCCGTTGCCTAAAGCCTTTCAAAATGCAGCTTTTTCTCAACAATCAATCCATCGCTTTTCTTCGACCCTTTTTTGAACCCACCGGTCGAGAGGAGACCGTTGTGTCTGTGCCTCTTTGTGTCCGAGGCAATAAATCCAATCCGTCCTCATCAAGAGCTAATGTGCTACCATTTACAAAATTCTTCTCCGGCTTTTCCGCGTTCGCATCCAGTTCCACAGGTTCCTTCAAAGTTCATTCCAGTATTTAGTAGGGCACTGGAGCTGCACCATGCAGCTCTCCACATGATTCTCATGTGGTAGCTACCGGTAGTCTATGTACTAGCTAGCTAGCTCCGGTAGTACTTGAGTGAAGCTGTGTGCCGCAGGCATCTGAAACTATGATGCATGGTGCCTCTCCGGTTTTTCCGTGCTTCTCTAGACTCTAGATCCAGCCATACGCAGCATCAAAGTTCCATCTGTTCACCGCCCATTGGTTGCTAGCACTACAACCTGTAGCTACCTGCTCGAGCCACGAGCTGTCACGGCTACATGTAGCGGTATTCATCTGAAACTGCTATCCGACCTTTCCGTGCTTATAGTGGTTCCAGCAGTTCATCATTTCGAGGATACATACATAGTCGAGTCATCAGAACATAGGGTACAGTACTCGCTCGTACCGGTCCATGGTTGCACAGCAGAGGCTACCTAGAGTACTACTGCATAGTAGTCTTAGCCTCTATCGGTAGATCTGTCGTGTGTGACCGTATGCATCCTCTCCGGCATTTCCGGGCTTATAGTAGTTCCAACAGTTCATGCATGATCATTTGGGGAGAGTCATCGCTCAGAACACACGTTTCCTGTATGTAATACCGTGGGTTGTCTCGGGCATCCGATGGCAAGCTGGCTACAGCTGGCTAGTTCGCTATAGCTCAGATCGACTGCCCTCTACCTTGGCTGTCAGGTTTATCTGCAAAGGTTTCTACTACATTGTTTTATCTAAAGAACTACTGACAGGAACATCTAACATCATGGGAGGGAGAAGAAGCATTCAGGTTGCTTTCCACCAGTCTGCCGCCCTCCAGTTCACCTTTCTTGCCTCGTATGCTTCGGCCAAGCAAGCAACCACCTCAACTTGACTGCTCATCCTTGGCAATTTCAATCACAACCTTCCCATGGGCATGGATGGAGTTCTGAAGTTTCATGGCTGCCCGAACACCTTCTGTTGTAAACTCAAATGGACCAGCCGGGTCCAAAACCACTTTTACTTTCTTGTCGGCAATATCCTCTAATAGTGCCTCGAGATGACCCGGTTTCAGTTCCAAGCCTTTTGGTGTGATGTATTTGGGACAAGATCTGTGCAACTTGGAATACAGTGATCGGCCAAGGAGGGAAAAGATAAAGGGTATCACGGAAATAATGCCCATTCCCATGTCAATCTCTGTCTCCACTCCAGTAAACATCTGAACATAGGGCGCTTTGGATTTCAACACGGTTGTTCCGGAGCAGGCTCCCGTGACCCAATTCTGGCCATTGACCAAGTCCACCACCACATCAAATGGATTCTCTCCGAATTCTTTCTCCAATTCCCACCAGTTCTCTACTCGGTAGTCAATGACACGATCCACTCCCAAAGATTTTACCAAGTCCGATTGAGTTGTAGTGGCCGCCAAGAAACTGGCACCTTGTTTCTTAATGTACTGGCACATAAAGGTTCCCAAACCACCCGAGCCTCCAAGAAGCAAAACACGACTATCCTTTTGAATGAACTTCTCTATGACCAGTTTGGCCGCAGAAGCCGAAGATGCCAGTGTACATGCCTCTGTGGCAGGGATGGATGCCGGGCACTTTTCACTCAAATGTGTCTTGACACAGACATATTCAGCGCACATGCCCTGGGGTTGTGGTTCATCAAAGCGGGCAATAATCTTGTCGCCCAATTTGTAGTAGCTTTCATCTTCGCCAACTTCTGTCACAATGCCACAGATGTCACTCCCAATAACATAGGGACGTCCCCATTTAGGCAACTGCATCATGTCTGTTTTTCCCTTGAATAACCGGCAGTCTCCTGGTGCCACGCCACATGCCAGAACCTTGACAATCATGTGTTTTTCAGCCAATTTTGACACGGGCTTTCCGGTCTTGCCATCTTTGGCGGTTTCCAATGTGGGTTGCGGCCAACTTTCATCAATATTGATGTGCTTATCAAAGTCTTGGATTCCAGTGGCAATGGCTGCTTTCATGATCATGTTACTTTCTTGCTACGGTACCGTACTAGCCAGATTGATTGAAGGATAGTTTGTGTGCACTCCATGGAGAGTGGGTGTCTTCGTGTCTTTGTATCTTCGTCGTCGGAATGAGGGTGAGGTACGAACTACGGTAGCTAGCTAGTAGAACCTGTACGTGTAGCTACGTCATACGGGTGGTGATCTCAGGGGTTCGAGTGGGTGTTTGGATCCTTCATTCCCACAGCCCTGTGGGACTCAGGACTGGATCCACAATGTTCCTTTGTCATCCGAGTACGAGTACGGACCAAGCAAGGTTGCCGTGCCAGAAGTCGACGGTTTCATCTTGGTGATGCAATGAATATAAAGCTTTCTTGTACCAGTTCCATACCGGTACTGGACTGTTCTATGTGAGCTATGCCATAGGCTTACCAGCTTGCATGAGAGTCTGCGAAAACTTCGTCTTGAACTACGAATATGTACCGCTATCAGCCAGGAGCGGATACCGGTAGGTGCGGAGCAAGCTCAGCTATTGGAAATGAAACAGCCGGAGTACCGGTACAGTCGTAGGCAAAAGGCAGGCCACACCAAGCGAAAAGATGGAGTGTCGTGATAGTGCCAAAAGGTAGATTGGAACAATACAGTACGAGGGCGAATTTCCTTCTGTCGCGTCGGGCACGGAACCGATATCCTCCCATAGCTAGTAGCTGGTACGTGGAACTCACACCATAACGCATAGTTGTTCATTCCCGTCTCAGCAAATCTTCCAGGTGGCAATGGAATGGCGCTTGGCGGTCGTCCGCGATACTGGTACTCACAAACACCAGAGCAGCAGCTACCTGACTAGCTAGTCAATGATCGAAGTGGACTTCTCTGTAGACTTGGCAAGGGCCGCTATGTTGGAGACCAGGGCTCAATGGCCTGGTTGGAAACTAAGGAACGAAGCTACCCTCTCCGTGAAAGTGTCGCTGTTGCAGTTTGACTGCTTCCACTGGCAGTGTTTCCCCTTTGGTGCATCAGCGGTTCATGCTGATACTCGTAGCCAGTTTCAAGAGCACCCAGTTAGCGAAGAAAAGATGTGAAGAACTCCTCCAAAAGCCGGCGCCGCAGTTCAGCCAAAGGCGTTGCTACATTTGGCCGGTATGGCGTTGCTCTTGCTTTGGTGTTCACGAGATGGCTGCTTGACAAGATCAACGCTATGGTCATACAGTTCCAACCTACCTTGATTCCAGAAACGTTTGCCCGCTTCGAGCCCGCAAGCCAAAAGCATAGTACGCCGCGCAACTGTAGCTGCACTATCCTAATACATGTACGGAGTAACTCTTAGACATTGTTTCAGAGTGACATGGTTGCGTCAAGGTAGCTAGAGCAATACCGCTACATCATCCCACCAGGTGAAAAATTCCACTTTCGACTACCAGCCATAGAATCTAGCTCGCAGAAAGGGCTCTTCTGTGAATGATTGATTCAATCGCTACCTGGACCAATCGCACTATTACTGCGCGGAAGCTTACAAACCCCCGTCCACGGCTGAGTCATTTGCGAGATTGGGGATGACAACAAGAGAGGAAGAAACGTTTGAGAGTGGTGCTTCTGGCATGCTGCAAGGGCAGCTGCAACCACAAACCGGTCCGCAATCGAACTCCACAACATTTCCCAATCCTGGATCTGAGGCCCAATCACACAACTCTTCTGGTATACTTCCATAGAGGTTCTCATTGTCAGTCAAATTCAAGAGTTTGAAATTCCCATTTACTGCCAACAGCCCAATGTCTGTTGGAATAGTTCCGGTGAAAAGGTTTGAGGCAACCTTGAGCTCTTTCAGAGTGCCAAGTGATCCAAGCTCGGAAGGAAGCTGCCCAGTGAATTCATTGTTATTAAGGTGGATCTGTGCCACCTGGGTCCAGTTTTTGAGCTCATGTGGGACAGTACCCGTGAAAAAGTTGTCCGACACCCGGAAGTCCATGGTATGGTTGCATGCAGAAAGTCCATCTGGTAGCGTACCACTCAGATAGTTGCTATGCAGATGAAGGCGTTCAACAGAACGCATCAATGTGAGTTCCTCTGGGATGGTACCTGAAAGACTATTGCTGTGGATTGATAGCCTTTGCAAATTCGTGCACCTCCCTAATTCTGTTGGTAGTGTCCCGGTCTATGTAGAGAGAAACATGTATATGAAAGAGCTCAGAGGACTTGCCCATGGATCAGAAGCAAAGAGACCCAAAACGACTTACAAAGTAGTTGTCATTGAGATAAAGCCTCCAGAGTTTGGTGGCCTGGCCCAATTCAGAGGGGATTCTAGAGTGGCAGCTGAGACTCAAATTACAAAGGCATAAAGGACATTGCAGCCTGAACTTACTTTCCAGTCATCATGTTGTTGCTGAAGTATAGTTGTCCTTCATGTGGACTGAACCATCTTGGATCCTCAATGCCCTTGATTGTACCGAACTCAGTCGGAATTGTTCCTGTGAAACTGTTTTGCAAGAAATAGAACAGCCAGACATTATCTAGAGCTGCAAGCTCACTAGGAATCCTTCCTGACTACATTTGATTGGTTAGGCAAAGATCTGCAAAGAAGCAAATCCAGGAAACATCTGGACTTACCAAGTTGTTGTTCCACACTATGAACCATTCTAAAGATGACATTAATGCCAGTTCGCTGGGGATTGTTCCACTAATCAGGTTTCCAACAACATAGAAATCAAGGAGATTCCCCAAGTTGGAGTATTCAACAGGGATCGACTCAGTCACATTGGTCTCTGCAATGTGGAAGGTTACAAGATTGGAGAGAAGGCCAAGCTCAGAAGGGAATGTTCCGGTTAGCCCTGTACCCCCAAGCTCCAGGCTTTTCAATGCCGTCAATAAAGCCAGTTCGCTTGGAATTGTTCCTGTTAAAGCTGTGTCCCCGAGGACTAGGTCTTGCAACCAAGTAATTTTTGTAACTACAGATGGAATGGTCCCCTTGATTGTGGTTCCATAGAACTGGATAACCTTCAGGGACGTGAGCAGTTCAATCTCAGGTGGAATTTCGCCACCCAGTGGTTGCTCATACATTGCCAAATAGAGGAAGTCATCATCATCCAAGGTTGTGGTGGCGTCAATTTCTGTGGAGTTTGAAACTCCAGTTCCTATGGGAGCACATGAGCCATTAATGAAGCGAAATGGAGAATTCCTCATACCAAAGGCATCGTACTGAGGACCGCAACCCATAAAATGCTCCCAGTAACACTCATGCTGTGTGATATTGAGCCAATTTGGTCCCCAATCCTCCCCATTAGTAGAGAACCAGAATGTGGCCAAGGCATATCTTTGCTGCAGGCGTTTATCAGAATAGAACTCAAAGCTTGTATCATTTTCAAGCCAATGAAAGGCAAAGGCTTGAGGAGTTCCTTCGATCTGAATCCTCTCAATTGTGTAGTCAGGAAGCAGCCCAGCCAAAATGTCAAAGCGGGTCTTGGGGGGTTCTGTCTCAGGTGAATTGGTTGCGTTCATGACAGGTCTAGAGTGTATCTCTTGTTTAGAAGCGCCATCTTCACTTTCCACGACTGCAAAGATGACAAAGAAAATGACGAGAGCTATGGCCATCAGAACACCAATAGTGATATGGAATTGTGTCTGCTTCTTCTTCTCAAGCTGTGCCCGTTCCCTCTCAGTAAAGTGCTCGGATTCATCAAGGGTGATGGGGCGAGCATTTTCCAGATCTCTGCTATCGTCCACAACTGGCGCTGCAACAGCTAAACCACTCGTGTGTTCGTGAAGAACTGGTCGCTCCTGCTCAGCCGAGGGGGTGTCGGCTCGACCTTCCCTGGAAGCATTATCGGCATGCATTTCTTCACTGCCTCCGACAGGGCCCTGTATTCCCGGTACACCAAACGCTCCTGGCACCCCCCGAGATCGAATCTTGCTGTGTCTCAATAAAGATGCTCCTGAATCAGGCGTCGCGGTACGTTCTGTTTTCATAGTGTCTGCCGAAAATTCTTGTCTGTTCTGAACCGAGACTGTGCATGCCGACGATGGATGCTTGGCTTCCCCTACCGCCCTTCCTTTTCCTGGCGGCTTGGATTTCTCGTCGGAATCGGTTGGCCCCTCCTCCTCTCCATCACTCTCCTCGTCAAACCTCTGCTGCCAGTAGGAAGCAACATTGCTTTGGCCCTTATCTGTCTCCTTCTTGATGAGACCATTGTTCGACCCTGCCGTTGTTTTCTCAGTTACAATAGATTCCGTACTTTCTTTTACTTTCGATTGTCCTTGCTGCTGACCCTTTAGCGTGAATTTCTCACTCTCTTCGTCGAACCTATTCTGCCAATACGAGGCAGTCTGGTGGTTATTAGCGTTGTTCTCCTGTTTCCCCTTTTCCAAACTCATGGTGCGGCGTTGAAAGGAAGTCGAAAACGTGGTCCCATCAAAGCTTGTTACTTCTAATAGTCTAGTTGTAAACAAATACGAAGTAGATACGTTAAGGGGCGAGGGGGGCTAAGCGAGGCAGTTCGGGAGATTGTTGTGCGGTTGGAGTGGAGTATGGATGCAGGGGACATAAAGCTTCTGCTGCAATCTGTGATTGTGTCCCCTCCGGCTGCCTTTCAGCAACGAGCCAAAATGCCACCGGTACATGCGCGATACGTCAAGCTCAAGATCGGTAGCGGTTCTGAGTTCTCATTGTTGAGGTTAAGGCTAAATGCACTCGTTCCGGAATTCCCTCGTGCACCAACGACTTTCGGGGATCCCCTTTGCGTACGAGATTTAACCGTATTTCGGCGACAATTTCTGGTTTACTGGTAAAAAAGGCGCTAAAAGGTCAGAAGTTGATACCCCGAAATTGCAGAATTAGGGGCAAGCAAAGGGCGCCACCACCTTACCCAGCGACTCACCTTGTTATTACGTGTCTATAGCCTAACCTGGCTGTCTGGTGGCCAACAAAGATCTCCCAAGATAATAGGAAAGCTGTCATGCTATTGAAGTGATGCTCTTGTTAAGGATAGAGCACCAGTTTTGCCTGCCTCTGTTTTGTCACTGCTGTCACTGCTGTCACGGATTGCCACCGGCCGCCACAATCTCCACCAAATCGCCATTGTCGTCATCCTCTTCTTCCACACTCCGAAGGAACTGCGTTCGTTCGGATGCCGTCATTCCCTTCACTGTTGCCAGAGCTTCAGTTTGCATCTTCAGCCTCTGTCTTCCAAGGAGAGTGTCATCCACGGACAGGTTATCGATCTTGTGTTTCAGTCGCTGGAGCTCTGCATCTTCTTCGGCTGTCCACCTTCGAACTGGAGGAACCACGGTGTCCTTGACCTCGGCCCACTTTTCCTGCCTTTGGGCGGCTGTTGATATCTTGGAAGGACATGACCGACCAAGCTTCACGAAGATGAGGTCTTGAGTTGTCCACTTTCCAGGAGGCGTCTCCTTCCAACAGTCGAAAAGCTGCGTCCTCCCTTTCAGCGGCTTCGATTTTCTTTTTCTTTTGGGCCTCCAAGCTCTCCAAATCAGACTTGTGGCGGCTCTTGTGAGCGAAATGAAGTAATCATCTTCATTCAAAGCCGCCCCACCAGTCAGTTGAAAGTACTTTCCCCCACCAACCTTTACCTTGGCAATTGCATCTTGCCTCTCTCTTGTCCTTGGCTTGAGATCGCTTCTTGCCTTGTTTGCTGCTGAAAGATGTTAGCTTTATCTGGAGAGGCTTGGAGTTGTAGCCAGCGCCATCCAGAATAGTACAAACCATCGAATTGAGGTCATTGAGAGACTTGAGATAAGCGGACTCCGGATCTGCTGCAGCGTCAACGTTGCCATCCCCATCAACAACTTGCTCGTGACGGATATGCTTGCTCTTGAGAGCTGCTCTTGTAATCTCTCTCTTT